TTTGACCGATAGCTTTTCGGGTATATAATAAGATATATGATAGAAAAGCATTTCATCCAATCCAGTGCAACTATTCAAGTAAAGAGCCTCGATATTCCGATTCCACGATAAAAGCTCTTGTAAACCCTCGGAAGTGATCTGGAAATGAAAGGTTTTTTTGCGTAATTAAAGCCTAAATCTTTCCCCAACCTGTTTACATCCACTAATATCCAATGTTTGAAGATGAGGAGAACGAATCATTGAAAGACCGAGATCGGTTAACTGAAAGAAAACAATGTTAACCAAAAGAAAGCTTTCCATTTTCATTTCCATTTCCACTTCCCCCTCACTTGATTCATCGATCTCAACTCCAACGTATGCAAATTGAACTGTGCCCTCGTCACACTCTGCACACCCGTATCGCTCACATTTTTACACTCAATCAACGTGATTTTATCTAAGAATTTGTTGTATTCCGTCAGATGAGCCAACATTCCGTCGTTCACCTGAAAAAAAGCATTTGGCGTGGTTGACTCATAATATTGGGTTGGGGACTATGACTCGGCGCCGAAAATCAAAAAAATGTCTAAAACTTCTATTCGACTTCGTCAAATAATATGCGTTTGATATGAGTAGAATGGTTAACTAATTCTCTACAAAATGACATTTAAAAGAAAATTCAAACAGCGCCTCCGCTCAAGAAAAAGCCATTTTTTCACAAAAACTACAAACTGTCATCTAGAAAAAACCATTGGTGGGATCTTCCTGCAAATTTGGCAACTTAAGTAATTGAATGTGCTCTATCTTTTTGATATAAACACCAAAGAAGGTTTATGTGAAAGAAACTGTTCAAATGATGAGTCGGGCTCTTTGCCATTTTGACCAGCTGCGTTTGGGAGTCCATAAACTCCACGAAAGAAAAGCTTTGTGGAATCTCTCAAAAGTCATTTTGTAGAGAAATAGTGGATCCTTTTGATCAAACCAAACGTATGTTTTGTTTAAAGAAGGCTTTATGTGTGCAAAAAGTCCCTTTAAAGTTTGGCGCCGAGTCATAGTCCCCAACCCAATAGTTTTTAATATTTAAAAGATCAGTAAACGTTTGGCAATCTGGTGCAGAAATGTTCAAATTGGCTTTACGCCATCTGTCGCAATCTTGCCAGAAGACGAATTTCTACACAAAATTGTTGATTTGTTAACTCATCTCACCTCATCCGAGAGATAAAAATAGATTGTGGATAAATTCATTCCGAAAAGTGGATATTTCATCAAATCCCCACTATCGCCAAGGCCCAGCTGAAAGAATTTCTTGGGAAAATGATTTTAAAATGTTTCAAAAATGAATTCCCATTTTATAATTCGTGTTACCCGATCATGACTCGAGAGGAATTCCAATACTTTGTGTTTACAATGAATCGGCATATACCCCAAATCGATGCGTATCCGCTCGCGGCAAACAACTGAAATGTTTCAATTTCGTTTTTCTAAATCTTTATTTTTTCTTCTTTTTTTTTTGATTTATTAAAGCTTTTAAATTCTTTTAAACACACCTGTTAATGCAAAATCGAAGAGACTTTTGACCATAGTGCATCAGAGTTGAAAGTTCAATGGAAAACAAGTGAAATTGCTGAAGAATTTGATTTACTTTATCGAATATTAAATGTACAGCTGGAAGAATTACAGAAGGTCTTTAGGTTAAACAGATAAATTGCAGATAAATTACTTCAGAAAAATAAGAATGAAATTACAGCTGAGATCACGTGAAAGAAGAAGAAGAAAAAGAAGAAAAAAACAAAAAAGAAGAGTGAATATATATATGCTTTATTCAGTTGAATAGCGACAAGACAAAATCACAATAATTACCCGGGGCACCACTCAAAACACACCCAAAAGATAAATGGATACCTCTAGAAAGAATCACAGAGCAGTCAAATCAATTGCCGAAATTGCGGCTTTAAATCTAGCCAAGATGGAAATATCACGAACATGAGGGGGTAAAATGTTCCAGAATTTAATAACTCGATTAAAAAAGAAACTGTGGGGGCTTTTAAAGGAAACGGAAGGTTGGTATATGAGAAAAGGCCCCCTTCGCCCGTAGGGGCCCCGGAGGCGCCCCGTAGAGAGCCGAATTCAAAGAGACCAGAAAAAAGGGAGTCGGGTTGAATGCCTTTAACAATTTTAAAGCATTCCACTAAATCGATGATAAAGCGGCGTTGGTGTAACATTTCAAGACCAAAAAGTTGCAATCTATCAGAATAAGTAAAGGAGGAGAATTTGTCAAAATTAATTTTATAAAGAGCAATTCTGGTGAAGTGCCTCTGAACACGTTCTATTTTTTGAATAAGATATAATAGGGAAGGAGACCAAACAAGAGAAGCGTATTCAAGAATTTACTTTATAGGCTATTAAATGACAGCTGGGGGAATGATAGAAGGTATTTAGGTTAAACAGATAAATTGCAGATAAATTACTTCAGAAAAATAAGAATGAAATTACAGCTGAGATCACGTGAAAGAAGAAGAAGAAGAAGAAAAAAGAAGAAGAAAGAGGAAGAAGAAGAAGAAAAAAGAAGAAGAAAAAACAAAAAGAAGAGTGAATGGAGAACAAATGACTGGAAGTTGTTGAAAGAAAAGGAAAAAGAAGAGAAGAGATCTGGTCACGATGCATTTACTGGCGAATAGGGAAGGGGAAGAGATCCGGTCATGGGGAAGAAGGGAATCCTCATCCCAATCAATCCATCAAATTCACTTTATTTACCCAATTAAGTTTTTTAAAACAACAACCCGCTGAATAGAAGGGATTTTATGGAAGATCAAAGTTGAGATCTTCGATTTTTCTCGACTTTTGATCTTCGATTCTAATACAAATCTGTTGCCCTCTTCTGAACGTGCATTCTCTTTTACACAATCTTTTTTGCATTCATTCTCAAGAGCTTATCTTGTCTTATGTTTAACTTTGAAATCTTGTGGATCAGAATATTTTTGTGAATGAAAAAGGTACGAAAGAGTAAAAAACAGAGAGTACAAAATTTGAATATAAAAGCACCGAATTTGTAACAAAAAGAACGATAAAACTTTCGTTGAATTCTCTGTAAACTGTCTGTCAGAAGATTAGCTTCGCTAGAAAATATCAAAAATTTTATGAATTAGCTACAGTGGTCCACAAAAGTAATGCCCCATTGCCATTCCAAAGGTATTTTTTGCAAAATTCCTCCTGAAAACATGTATTTAAAATATATTTTTTTTTTCTTTATACTTTAGTATTTAGTATAGTAATACTTTAGAAATTCTAGTTGTTAAATAACTGGATTTTTTTTGATTGAGTGCAATTACCCCTAAAATTAGCTCCACAAAAGTAATGCCCCATTGATCGTTTTCATGATTATTCTTTTTGTTTCTCCTTCTATGAACATTAAATGTATTCTATTGTATTATTTAGATTCCTGACATGAAAAATCTTGACACTCCGAAGAAGCTCCAAATCGCTAAGGCCCGGGAAAATGGGATGCGGGAGAAGGATGTGGCCAACCTCTTCAATTGCTCGATATGGACAGTGCGCCGCATTTTTTCTCAATCAAAAGCCGGCAAAAACCTTCATCGAGGCCTCAAGAGTGGCCGACGACCAATCACAACCATAAAAGAAGTTCGAGCCGTGATCAAAATGGTGAAAAACGAGCCGAACAAAACATCAACCGATGGAAGCCAAATGACGAGGGATCAATTTAACAAGGTTGTATCGCCGGAAACGATCAGGCGATGATTAAATCAAGCTGGATTATATGCAAGAATGTATTCTATTGTATTATTTAGATTGTATTTATTACTTTTGTGGACCACTGTATTAGCAAGAATAACAAAAGTGTCAATGATTTTAAAAAAATCGTGAAGTAAATCTGGGTTATCTTAAAGAAAAGAAAAAAACTTTCGCTAGACGTAGTTCTTTTGAAATATTTCAGAAATGAGGAAAATTGAGAGGGGTTTTTTTTTTGGATGAGGTGAGTGACGGGACAGAGAAGATTTGGGAAGAGAAAGGCGAAGGAGGATTCGATCTTTCAAGAAAAATATCGAGTGATGGGGGAAAGAGAGGGGAAAAAAGGAATGGAAAAGATGAATAGAAAACGGGGAAAAGCTTGAGAAAAGATAAAGGAAATTGGGAAAATCGAGGAGACAAAAAAAGCGAGGATTACACTATTTGAAAGGTGAAAAGGAAAGGCCATTTCAGCGCACGGATCTCTTTTCACCTCTAAACTCACCAATGAATTCAATTTCAACAGTGAGTAGACAATCTAGACAAGAAAAAAAATGCAAAGATTTCTTTAAGTTGACTGTTCTTGTTTTGTTCAACTGTTTTCTAAGTTCTTGTTTTGTTCAAAGTTGACTTTTCCCTTCGAGAGAGGTCACGAGAAGGGAAAAGAAAGGAAAAAAGGAAAGAAAAGGAAAGAAAAGGAAAGAAAAGGACACAAGTCACTCAAATGGGTTTAATTTTGATCAACAAATACTTGAAAATGGCTTTACTTTCAAAAATAACATCATCAACATATCATCAATCATCAACTTATTGTGTTACGAATTGCATTTGTGGAGTCGAAAATTCTTTTTTATAACTCTTGTAATGTTGGTTGATTAAAATCTGATAAATCTGATCTAAATCTGATAAAACCTGATCAAATCTGATAAAACCTGATCAAATCTGATAAAATCTGATCAAAATCTGACAAAATCTGATAAAATCTGATAAAATCTGATAAAATCTGATCAAATCTGACAAAATCTGATAAAATCTGATCAAAATCTGATAAAATCTGATCAAATCTGACAAAATCTGATAAAATCTGATAAAATCTGATCAAAATCTGACAAAATCTGATCAAAATTTGATAAAATCTGATCTAAATCTGCTAAATCGGACCAAAATCTGATAAATCTGATAAAATCATGCATTTCTATTGCATAAAAAGTGATGTAATTGAATCAAGCTTCTCAAAAGAAATACATTTTTCTTTCTTTTTCTTCAAAAAATATCTAAAATTTCAATAGCATATTGATAATGATAATCACAGTTATTCCAAAGGTGATTATTGTGAAAAGAACAAATATCAACGAGCTCGTCCACATCAACTGAAAAGGAAAAATTAAAAGGAAAGAAACTCATTGAATGAAACTTCAAAAACACTCGTGAATGAAACTTAAAAAGCAAAAAGCCTTACCCAATCTTCTTTTTCTTTCAATAACTAAAACAATAAAAAGTTTTCTCTCTTTTTAACCATTTCTTCTTAAACAAAACCTTTTTCCTTTTCTCTTCAGCATCAGTTGAATCGTAGATCTGTTTTTTGTTTTCACTCAGCTCCATATCAGAACCGATTCTCATTGGAGATGTTGTCATTCGGAAAAGAATCTTAAAATGATTATTTTTATACCGTTTTCTCTTTGTTCTTTGTCAAAATTAACTACCGATTCTTAAAGAGCTGAAAAATGACGCTTTTTTTTGATGACTTTTGTCTCTTTTCTAGCTTAGATCAATAATTGAAAGTATTTATGGAATAAATATATTTATTTAAGTAATAAATTCATTTGATTACCTCTAAAATGACAACACAAATAGCGATGATGAAGAGAAAAATCAACCAAAAGAACCAAACGAGATCCGGTCGATGGAAACGTTTACCGAACTTTTGAGCAACCAGAAACATGGCACCCACTGAAATTGATACCAATTAGAACGTAGAATAAAGCTGTGAAAGCTTGAAATGTTCTTAACACTCTTCAATTCACACAACTCACTTGCAAACGCCAGCGAAGTAATCCCACAACAGCGATGCAGTAAATTGAATAAAAAACGCTTTTGTGTCGCGGGTTTTGGACGAAAATAGGCCATTATCGGCTGAAGAGTGGCCAGGGAAATCGAGATGGCACCCAGCTAGCAAAAGGGAAATGTTTTCAAGAAAGATCTTTGTGCTTTAACTTACAAAGCTGTGCAGAACGCCTGGTGAGAAAAAGTTTCTGCCGAACCATGGACCCGTCCAGCTGAAATTGTGAATAAATGTTCAAGTGGTTGGTGTAAAAGCCTAATTGTAAGCTAAGTATTGGGTTGGTGAATTGAAAACTGCCGGACTTTGAACTAAAATTTATTCAACATAGAACCATGAATTCATTCCAAATAATGTCCATTATTATTGACGACTTCTGTGAATTTTACAGGCAATTTGCGGATTCCTCTTTCGTAGTAGGATTTTGGCTTGTGTGTGAGACAAGTGTGAGACTCAAAAATCGAGGACTGGAGATGTCCGATGTCTCAGTTTGAGCACTTTCCCCAAAAGAAACCCATTTTGGTGCCAATGGAAAAGTTGTAGAGAATCAAAAATGAGGCTTATAGCCAAATTTCCAAAAAGATACACTTAGTAGTTTCGCTTAAAATGCAAGTTTTGTGAAAGTTTCGTAAATTTGGCACTTCTTCAAAACCAGTTTTTGAATCGTTCTGAAAATTTGGATATAAGCTTGATTTTTGATTCTCTACAACTTTTCCATTGACACCAAAATGGGTTTCTTTTGAAGAAAGTGCTCAAACTGTCACATGTCACTGTCAAACTGACAATAGCCCGTAGTTTTCAATTCACCAACCCAATAGTTTATACAGAAAAAACATTTTCAGTTGTTCTCGTCAATTTACAATCACAAAATCTCTTCAATTCATGTTCGTTTTGATCCGGATCCATTAAGGGAAAAGCGCAAAAAAATGGATTGCACGTAGAGTTAAACGATGGAAATTTTTTCAATTCACCAACCCAATACTTCTACTTATTCGATCACTTTTGCTTCTTCCTTATGTGCCATTTTCTTAGCTTTTCTATCTTGTTATCAGAAAATCTTTAAACACAAAAGTTTCTAAAAGAATTGTTATGTTTCAGATGATGAGAATTTTTCGAGATTTTCAATTTAAAAAGAATACTTTAAAAAAGATTTCATTTAAAAAGGATACTTTAAAAAAGATTTCATTTAAAAAGGATACTTCAGCTTATTTTTGTGCCTTTCAAAAAACCGATTTCATTGATGTAATATCAAATGTTTTCATTTATCAAATTCAAAAAAATTCCAAAATGTAGAAGAGACCTTCAGCTTTCGAATGATATATATTTTTTTTTTTTTTTATTTTTTTTTTTTTTTCTTTTTTATTTTAACTTTCCTTTTTTTCACACTTTTTTTTTTTTTAATTTTTTACCTACTTCTTATTTTTATTTTAATTTTTTTCTTTTTTTTTTTATTTTTTTTTTTTTTTTTTTTTTTTTATTTTAAATAATTTTTTATTTTTTATTATTTTTTTTTTTTTTTTTTTTTTTTTTTTTTTTTTTTTTTTTTTTTTTTTTTTTTTTTTTTTTTTTTTTTTTTTTTTTTTTTTTTAAAAAAATTTTTTTTTATAAAAAATAAAAATTTAAAAAAAAAAAAAATAAAAAAAAATTTTTAATTTTTTTTTTTTTTTTTTTTTTTTTTTTTTTAATTTTTTTTTTTTTTATTTTATTTAAAATCTAAATTAAAAATTTTATATTAAACAAATTCCCCATAAAATTTTAATTTAAAACAAAAAAAAAAAAAAAAAAAAAAAAAAAATACATGCTGAATATATATGTAACACTCATATACATCTGTTCGATATCTTGAGAAACTTACAAAATCGTAAAAACGCGCATTCATAACTCGACAACCCAATAGAAGGTCGTTATAGAGAAGTACTCGACTGTACTCGTAAAAAGCCTTACCGAAATCCTTGTGCATACAAAATAAAGCCAATAGAAACTAGTGACAAGATCACCGCTGCGTAATTCGAATTTCGATGTAACTAAATGGGAATTGGCATTTATTTTTTTGGAAAGCGATTACTTGGAACCAATTCGGCAATTTGAAAACACTGTTGCGCGAGGAATGATTTCGAAGATATCTGAAGTAGAAAGATGAAGGAGGAGAAAGAGAAAGATTCTGAAGGAGAAAGAGAAAGATTCTGAAGGAGAAAGAGAAAGATTCTGAAGGAGAAAGAGAAAGACTCTGAAGGAGAAAGAGAAAGATTCTGAAGGAGAAAGAGAAAGATTCTGAAGGAGAAAGAGAAAGATTCTGAAGGAGAAAGAGAAAGATTCTGAAGAAAGTAGAAAACAATGAATGATATAGATAAAATAAATAGAAAATAGAAAAGAATTAATGATGTAGAAATGGAAAAAAGATATTTTCTTTACTTACCTTGCCGCTATTGTGGCTTTTGGAATGAGAAAAATCCAAGCGACAACCATTAAAATACCTGAAAGTGAAAAGTTTGAATAAAAAAGCTTGACTCGAGCGAAATATTACAATCTTACAGTTTAGATTTAACGATACAATCAATTCAATCAATTCTATCAATTCTATCAATTCTATCAATTCAATCAATTCTATCAATTCTATCAATTCTATCAATTCTATCAATTCCTCAACAAACCATGAATTGATCCAAGCCAAAATCTTTTCTTTGCCCACTCCGGATCAACATTTGACTTTGTCGTGTTCATTTCGGCAAGAGTTGTAGAAAGAAACTTAAAACAAAAGCATTTTAGCAAGGTTTTAGCTATTTTTAGCATTTTAGCATTTTAGCTTTTAGCTTTTAGCTAGCTAAGCTATTTTTTTTTCAAATCGATTCAAATAAAGAGCTTTTTTTTAGATAAAACTTTGCATAAATCTCAGAACCTCAAAATCTCAAAATTTCTCTAAAACCAACCAGAAAACCCAGCCATCGCATTGTCCTCAAAAAATCGTTCAACTTTGAAAAAAGTAAGTCTAGATTTATCGTATTTAAACAGAAAAGTTGAATCTTGATTGAAAATTGAAAAAAAAAAAGAAAAGAATACCATTCATTTGAGGTCAATCAAGGTCACATAAACACAAAAAGCACATTTCAAAAAGCACAGCATTCAAAAAGCATTGTCATTTCTTAAAAATAAATGTAAAAGTTTAAAAAAAAGTGTGATTGTTCTTTTTTTTGTCTTTTTTTTGATGATGATGATGATGATGATGATGATGAAAGAAAAGAAAGAAATAACTGTGATGTATTGGAAACAAAAATCATGAATAATTCATGAAGGGAAATGGGAAAATAAAAGAGATTCAATTGTTGAACAATTAAATTGGTAATCGAAGATTGATTTGTGATTTGTGATTCGATTTATTCGAGATTATTCGATTATTCGATTCTTCGATTATTCGATTTATTCGAGATTATTCGATTTATTCGAGATTATTCGATTCTTCGATTTATTCGATTCTTCGATTATTTGATTTATTCGAGATTATTCGATTCTTCGATTCTTCGAATATTCGATTCTTCGATTATTCGATTCTTCGATTATTCGATTCTTCGATTTATTCGAGATTATTCGATTATTCGAGATTTATCTAGCACATTGAATCTTTTTCGACAAAGAGATCTGTTTCCTTGAAAGAAATTTGAGTGTGCGAATGGGTGAGCGTTTTCGACAGCATGAAATACAAGTAAAGCTATGTAATTTTTACATGTTGAACCAATTTTGAACGACACTTTCAATCAATTTTCTACGATTTAAACTAGAGTGTGTTCCTCGCGAGTAATGCGTTTTTTTTAAAACGCACATTTGGGAAAAAATTATCATACTTTTAGCAAAAATTATTGAAAAAAAATGGGGGTGGGACAAATGCGACCTTTTTTTGCGAAAAAATATTTCCATAGAAGGGAATCGTATGCGTAGATTCCGAATTTCGACAAATCAGACCTCGCTGACACGTCAAATTTGGGCTAAAAGGCAAAAACTGCGGAAAAGCGTTAAGTTGCGTAGTTTTTGCCTTTTAGCCCAAATTTGACGTGTCAGCGAGGTGTGATTTGTCGAAATTCGGAATCTACGCATACGATTCCCTTCTATGAAAATTTTTTCGAAGCTCTACGACCTTTCCTAAGGCCTTTTCCAGCAAAAAAAAGGTGCGCAAATGTCCGGGTGCGCAAAAAAAAGGTCGCATTTGTCCCACCCCCAAAAAAATGATGCAAAAATGACGAGCCCCGCATTATATACGACACTTTTTAAAGATACTCAGATTTTGAACTGATTTGGCGGGAAATTCCCTTCCAATGTCAAAAATGATTGTTTTTTTGAAAAACATGCGCAAAAAATTGCTTTTATATTTTTTTCGCACAGGCGCACTTTTTAGAAAACACATTACTTTTTCTAAAATAGATTTCTTTAGAACAAAGTGCTTAAATTAGAGTGTGTTTTTGAGTAATAGCTCGAATAATTAACGAGCTATTACTCGTTAATTATTCGAGCTATTACTCAAAAACACACTCTAATTTAAGCACTTTGTTCTAAAGAAATCTATTTTAGAAAAAGAAAGAACACAAAATGTTAGGCATAATTAGCTAGCTAAATTTTCAGAACAATCAATTCAGCTAAAATCTTTAGAAAACTTTTTATCGAATTTTGACGCAAAAAAAAGCTTTTTTTTTCACTTGGATTTTCTTGGAAACAAGCTCAAATTGATTGAAAGATTGAAAAGTCTACGATAAACATTTTCTATTTAAACAAACCGTAGAGCAATTGTTAAACTTTTCATTTCTAAACACATTTATCAAAAATAACTCGATTTATCGATTAAAGATCAAAGATTCAACGACTCAACGACAAGCTTACAAAGTCGAAAAATGACAGCAAATACAGCTGGTCGAATCAAAAGCTTTTTCAACGTTCAAATATTAATTAATGAAGAAGAATGTTATCAATGAAGAATATTATTAATGAAGAATATTATTAATGAAGAATATTATTAATGAAGAATGTTATCAATAAAGAATGTTATCAATAAAGAATATTATCAATAAAGAATACAAAAATGAAGATATTTTTGCAATCAGTTCCCGAAAATATTCAGCAATGAAAGCGGGAATGATCGATGATTTGCGAGGGGTCCACGCCCAGTCAGTCCTTCGATCCCCTCAATCCTTTCTCCAATCATTCTTCTTCTTTGCCGATTCTCTTCCCTTTCATCAATTGTACTCTCAAGGACATAAACGATACCATCACTCAATAACATTTCAGAACCCTGTAATATCTTCACTTTTATCTTCACTTTTATCCTCACAATCTCATTCATTTCTCATTTCATCTAACCTTAACTGAAAAGAAGATCTAATCGAGTCAGTATTGTTGTGCAAATGAAAAGTATATGTCATAATAGTTGAAATTCGTTGTGATTGTTTTGTTTTGTTTGTCAAATCTACTAGAATCTTTTACCCTAAAGTCTCGAGTATAAGTTGATCCGAGTATAAGTTCTGCCTTAATTTACATTCGCTTTAATTGCTTTGAATTTCTTTTTGTTGGGTTTTTATACATTTTTATTGTTATATAAACTTTTATTATTGTTCTTGGAGCGCGGGATACTACAGGGTGACAGCCTATCACCATTGCTATTTGTTATGTGCATGGATACATCCAGACGATAGGGTTGAAGAAAGAGACGCTGGAAAGCATCTCTTTCGACCGTCGACGTGGACTTTGGCCGGATGAAGAGGCCAGGGAGGGATCCATAAGACTGAGCACCGGAGAGGAGCAGGGCGGACGCGCCGAGCCACGCCCGGAGCAACAAATAACAGCATAAAATTGCTATAGCCCTCAATAAATTTACTTCTATTATTGTTCTTAAAAAGCAAAAAAGTTATGCTGCAGCGGGGTTCGAACCCTCGACACACCGCACCGGAGACAGCCGTCAATTTGCATGCGAAAACCAAACAGAACTTATACTCGCGACTTTAGGGTAATTAGATAGCAATTTCTTCTTTGTTAATAGTGTTGACTTTTAGAACTCTTTCCTTTTGAAGAAACTTTTTGACGTCTCTTCCTTAAACTTACAATAATCTGTGCTCCATCAATATACAAATCATGAATTGAGCCTTCAGCGAGAAGATTTTCTCCTTCAAGGTTCGCGTATGTTTCTATCTAAAAAAATCTTTTAATCATATTTTTCATCAATCAAAAATTTCTTTTAATCATATTTTTCAAGTTTTTATAAGTAAAGCCATTTTTATCTAAATCATTTGAATGAAACCTTTATCTCCGATCGGCTGTGCGCAAGATCCGATCTGCATAATGGCTCTGAAAAGCTTTTAGAATTAGTAAACTAATCAATTTTCTGAAAACAAACCATCGACAATGTATTTCCTCACAAAATGAGCAGCCAAAGTCGAATTTAAGGTCAATTTCTTCAGGAGATTCCTCGAGAACGCATCATTTGTGGGTACAAAAACGGTCATTGGGGATTTCTAGACAAAAAAGATAAGATTAACAGAGAAAGATCAAGACTTACATGATATTTGAAAAGACTTTCGACTCCACTTTTTGTTAAAAGATTCGAGAAATTGCTGAGATCGTCCCGCGATTGGATATATTCAACGATGTTCATCCGAGAGCTTTTGATCGGCTGAAATTCATCTGATACCGTATTTACTCTATTAGTGGGGTCCCCCACTATTTTTTCAATCCCCTTCCAGACGACCCCACTATTAGAGAAATTTAAAAGAACATAAAACCAAAGTTTTAAATTGAAAAGATATCAATTTTTCTCCGAAATTCTTGACAAAACAAGTTTGGCTTCATATTTTATTTAGCTTTAACCGTAACAAAACATTAACAAACAGTAAAAGAACTAATCCAAGAGATCAACAATTGATGTATCACTTTCGTTACCAATATTAGAGAGGACCCCACTATTTTTTCAACCCCCCTCCAGACGACCCCACTATTAGAGAGGACCCCACTATTTTTTCAACCCCCCTCCAGACGACCCCACTATTAGAGAGGACCCCACTATTAGAGAGGACCCCACTAATAGAGTACATAACGGTAAGTGTAAATCACTTTTTATTTTAAGTATAAAACTTTAGTAACAAAATCACTTTATCGATGAAATAGATGATGGAATTGCAAGAGTGAATTGGTGTATCGATGACATCACTGCAGCCAATCTGAAAATGGGAAATCCGAAAGTGAAGCTGAAAATTCTTTTTTAATATTGAAACTTGCAAACCCTTGTCACGATTGGAAAAGAATGACCAAAGGAAATTCTCATTGAAATCGGAGAAGCTTTGTGCTTTGGATGGCCGTAAAATATCTGGAAATGTGTATCGATGACATCTTCTCTTTCAGAATCTTAACACTTGACTCTTCCAGAATGTTAACACTATTTCAAAGGGCTGATTTCAGTCATTTATGGCTGAATGGCTAAAAGCCGTGTGTTCTAGTCGTTCTCTTAGTTGAGAGGGCAGGGGTTCAATCCCGGTTGCTGCTTTTTTTTGGCTTTTTTGGTTTTTTTTCTTCCCTACCTTTAGGGTTTAGGGTTATAGGTGTAAGTTGTAGCTTAGGGTGTATTATTTGTACCACTGTGGATTCCTTGTGTATTGTTTTGTATTCATATGAATAAATGAATTCATCTGAATTCATCTGTAAAAGTGTAAAGCCGAGTATCTCCATCTAATCCCTCACCTTTTTCCCACTCCAAAATTCCGTTTGTCCGCCTTTATCCAAATCAAGAACTTCTCCAAGAACCACTTGATCTTTTACGTCAAAAGTTGAGCTAAAATTTCGTGATTACTGACAACTTTCATTCGGTTACCCATTCATTGTCGCATTTAACGGAATGAAAATCGTTACGGGTTCTCGAGTGGAAAGATCACGAAGGGACGGTAAAAGGGAAGGAGAATGAATGGACAAATGATCTCTCCATGTTAATACTAAAATCGACTGCAATGCTTTTTGATGCTTTAACTGCGGAATTACATTGTTGTGGGTGAATGAAATGATCGATTAGATGAATGACTCCATTGTCGGCCACAAGATTTCCCTCTTTTATTCGAGCATCACCAAGACGCACATAGGAATCCCCATCTTTCGAGACCTCGAATGGAATTTCGAGTTGTTTTGAGTGGACAATGATTTGGGTATTTCGTTGAATCAATTGTGATATTTTTTTTCTCAAAAAATCCCACCATTTCTTGTACTCTTTCCACATTTCCATTCAATGAAATAAGAGTTTTCCCAGCTAAAGCATTAAAACAAATTGAGGATTGAAAAATCTGTGAAACAGCAATATCTGAAACAAATAATGATGATAATGATGATATTTTTCTTCAAAAAAACCTCAAACCTTTCACACATCCATCATTTCTTCTAATCTTTTCTCTCGTCTTTTCCTCCAGCTTTTCAAAATCTTCATTAGTAATTGCAAAAATTGTGTATTGATTGAAAGATGAAAGAAGGCTTTTCGTTTCATTGCTCATTACTGAAATCTTTAAGTTTTTAGAGAATTTTTCGTTTTATTATTACGAGAAAGAAACGTTGAGAAACGGTGATCAGCTTGTAAAGCGGAAAGAAGAGAAGAAGCCGATGGGTGAAGCTGAGAAATTTTCATCTTATTATTAGGTTGATGCATAAGTGTTTTTGTTCCTTTTCGTCTGCCGTTTCAAGCCAACAAATGCACCAATTAAACTACGGTTGATTTCATTAGAAAAAGCAATTATTTTTCTGCAAAATAACAGTAAAACGGGTTTAAAAATATTTAATGCCTGGATTTTCTTGAGAGCATGAAGTCGGGTAGTCAAAAAGGGCTAACTCGATGACACCTTAGCCTTAGGTTTAGACACCTTAGCTAAAGAAAGCCTATCTTCGTGTCAATAGATAAAAGATAGAGAAAACAAAACGTTTGATATTTCGCCAAAATTTCAGAGAAATTCATTCAGCCAATTTTTCCGTAGAGTTTTTTAGAGATTTTTACGAAAAAGGCGTTTTTCACTCTCGAATTTGCTTGAAAGTGAACCGAAATTCATTTAAAAAGATGCAAATTGAACAAAAAAACACTTTTTTTATAGAGCAAACTATAGATTAATTCGTGAATTTGTTACTTTTTAACAGAAGTACGAAAAAAAACGAAAAGACTTATGCATCAACCTATTAGGTGCTTATGGTACATAAGAATTAGGTACATAAGAAATGCTGATTTGAACATTTTCATAAATTTCCAACGATAGAAACCTGATATCGATGAATGTTATCGATGAAGGTTATTGATGAATGTTATAAACTATTTGAAAGTTGTAAATCTCCTCTATAAAATAGGCTAGAACGTTTTTCAATTGATCGAAACATTGAAGAAATTTCGAGGCCGAAATGCGAGTGACCAAAAAAGGAATCGAGTCACTTTAGGGACAAGTTTAGTGTGGTCAAAATAGAGTTAGCCTCCAAAAATTGAAGCATTTCTGTAATGCATTAATGCGAGTGACCAAAAAAGGGCACTTTTTGAAAACCCCACTTTCACAAGAGTTCTGTTTTGACTATATAGTGGCAAATGAGCGCCCGAAAATCATTATCCTAAAAATATCATTCAAAATGATTAAGAGTTGGGATCATTTCATGGGAAAACTTTATTTTTACAATCATTTTTCTTTTTTGTGAAAAAGTCGATTTTTTTGACAGCCGGTTTTGAGGGTTTAAAACTTACGCTCTATCTAAATTTCTGTAAATGCATTTCCGTTTGACTTTTTTAATAAATTCATATATAGTTATCCATTTTTTTTTTAAATCTTCAATTTTGGGAAGCTAACTCTATTTTGACCACACTAAACTTGTCCCTAAAGTGACTCGATTCCTTTTTTGGTCACTCGCATTTCGGCCTCGAAATTTCTTCAATGTTTCGATCAATTGAAAAACGTTCTAGCCTATTTTATAGAGGAGATTTACAACTTTCAAATAGTTTATAACATTCATCAATAACCTTCATCGATAACATTCATCGATATCAGGTTTCTATCGTTGGAAATTTATGAAAATGTAGATTAGTAAGATATCTAAATATAGATTAGTAAGATATCTAAATATAGATTAGTAAGATATCTAAAGAAAACCGTACTCTAAGTCTAAACCGTACAAAACTCTAAGCCTAAACCAAGCTATCGAATTTTCTACAAAAAAACCCCATTCCAACCATTCCATCAGTGACATGAACGACTCCATTTGAGACAGGCAAATTTGCGCGAATCACCGCCACACAATTGATTTCGGTTCTCTAAAAACTTCTTGAATACATTTAAAAGAACAAAGAAAAAAAACAAACCACTTGTGAGTAGTCGGAATATTGTGAGATATAAAATTTCCCTCCATCCACACTTTTCACAAGATCTCCGTCAAACCAATCATAATCTCTTTGAATATTTGGTAAAATCATTGCCTAAAAACCTTTTTAACAATTTAAATCTAGCAAATTACCGTCCCATTTGCAGATTTTGTCTTTCTTGGCATTAAAAAAGTGAAAGTTTCTTTAGAATGAAGAAATTTCTCTAAACCAAGAACAAAAATTTCATTTGAATTTGTGTAGTTCAATTGATAAAGACGATCTTCAACAGAAACAATCTCTGAGGCTAAAATCTTGTTTTCATTTTCATTTCATATTCATTTATTTAATGATTTGTTTTTCTTTTTATTTCCTTACCTCTTTTACATCCATCTATCATAATATCATCAGTCTCCCATCCTTCACAACATTCCTCGATTCTCGCTGTTTCTTTTCCCTTTTCGTTCTCATTCTCGCGTCGCTCGATGCATTTTTGAGCTTTACGAAATCTAATATAATGTACACTATCAGTAGAAAAAGGGATACATTAGTTTTGAATCTAATCTAATCTTAGTAATGAATCTAATCTAATCTTAGTAATGAATCTATTCTAACCTAGGTAATGAATCTATTCTAACCTAGGTAATAAAACTCATCTAACTTAGGTAATAAAACTAATCTAACCTAGGCAATGAATCTAATCTAACCTAGGTAATAAAACTAATCTAACCTAGATAATGAATCCAATCTAACCTAGATAATGAATCCAATCTAACCTAATCTAACCCTGTTCTAAGTCTGGGAACTGTGCCGAAGCCAGCTCTGATTTATCTAAACTTTTCCGGAAAAATACCTTTACAATAAGGCATTTATGATCCTTATAATCTTATTTTATCTTTTTCCCATCCACTCTGTTATTTTCAAAACTTTCCACCTCTGACATCTATGCTGTGCACTCGTGACCCCATCTCGAGCTTTGAACTCTTTTGTGATCTCTCGCACACAGATGTGTTGTCTGAACAACAGTTTTTCTTTAAATCCCACTCATCTATCTCTTTAATTGGGTCACTTGTACTTTCTGAAAACTTCTGAAAACAATGATTGACAAAGAAAATGTCAATTGTCTCAGGAATTGTCAAAAAAATCTTCATTTCCCTTCAAAACCCACCCCTGAACTCTTCTCGAATTGAACGGAATACTGCTGATCGAATCAAAAAGATGAAAAACTTTTTGCATTGTCGAATCGCTCTTTTGATCATTTTCATTTTTTTTCTATACTTAAAATTACATTTTTTCGAAAAACTTAATTTACATACTGTTGATCGAATTTCCGTGGAATCTTTTTGTTGTTTCGGTCGATGAATCTCCATCGTTGTCTCTCCACCGATCATTCCAAACAATTTCGAGAAAAGATCATTTGTCTAACGATAAAAAAAAATCGAATATACCGTATTTTCTGTAATAGTAGTGCGCACTACTATTTTTTCAACTCCCCTCCAGCCTGCACTACTATTACAGACTGCACTACTATTACAGACTGCACTACTATTACAGACTGCACTACTATAACAGACTGCACTACTATTATAGACTGCACTACTATTACAGACTGCACTACTATTACAGACTGCGCTACTATTACAGACTGCACTACTATTACAGACTGCACTACTATTATAGACTGCACTACTATTACAGACTGCACTACTATTACAGACTGCACTACTATACAGACTGCACTACTTAACAGACTGCACTACTTTAGACTGCACTACTATTACAGACTGCACTACTATTACAGACTGGCTACTATTACAGACTGCACTACTATTACAGACTGCACTACTATTATAGACTGCACTACTATTACAGAAAATACGGTAGTTATGAAATTTATGAAAGTTTACTTGTGAAACGATATTCCCAAAATCGTTCACAATTTTCTCGTCTTCATCGAGGGTTTCCCGTTGATTTTCGATCGAATCTCTCGATGAGCTCACCACTCGAGTCACAGTCTATATTGATAGTCTATTTTACTATCATTTATGAAGATAGTAAAAGCCTTTTATCAATCGCACACAGATGTGTTGTCTGAATTTTATGCTGTCTGAAGTTCTGAGTCTATTTTACTATCATTTATGAAGATCATAGCCTTTTATCCAGCATTTATGAAGCCTTTTATCAATCGCATTTTATCAGAAAATCAATTTTCGATTTGAAAATTCTTTTCTCAAATTTTTTCTTCATATTTCTTTTTGCCGTTTGGTTAAATAATGTAAAAAGAAGTTTGATTTGAGTTTTTTTTTTTCGAATATTTTGACTTATTTAGATTTTAAATTTTAACATGAACTATTTAAATTTAAATAGTTCTTGAGTCTATCTAAAAGCTAAATAAAAGTAAACAAACAAAATACTTGTATGTAGCTTAAGCTGTAAAAGTCTAGCTATATAATATTTGTCTTTTTACTTCAAAACCTTTGGTCTTATTGGTTGTTCATTCGAGAAAAGACTGTCATCGTCCAAAAAAGAATACAATGATCCAAGTTGAGCGGTGATTTGATAGAAATTTGATAGAAAAATCAATAAAAATAGAAAATTCATGTTTTTGAATGATTTCCGAGTATGTGACTTCCTTTGAGAGATCTCCTTTTTCCTTTTTTTTCCGCCCCAATTCCATCGCAAACCATCTCAATCTTTTCACCAAATTTGACCTTCTTTTCATATTCAAACTTTTTTTTGATGATCTTTTAGTTTAAAAAAAATTGAAATATAAAAGATTTTTGGCATTTAGGAATTAAGAAGAGAAAAAAAGAAGATATTACGATTACTGTATTTTCTCTAGTAGTTTAATAGTGTTTCTCTAATAGTAGTGCACCCTGATCGTCGTCTAAATTACTCGAAATCGAAAACCGCTTATCAGAACCTATTGATGTGGGATCGGAAAATGTAGCTGACGATGAGATAAATAATAATATAATGATAATGATTTGATCTGTCTTCGCACTTAGCGCAGATCACAACCCGCTTCCACATTTACTGAGGCAGAAGTGTAGTTGTCGTAGCCGATGATACTCCGATGGCCGGGCTGGGGCGCTCGGAGGGGAACCCATGGGAGTCGAACCCACGACTAACCCGCGCCGACGTTGCTCAACTTGGCAGATCGGACGGGGTCGACCACAGACCCTTCCCTTTCTGGGCCCCGACGATGAGATCTAGTGGGGGATTTGAGTGTTGAGCTTCTGCGAGAACTTAGAAACCGTAAAATAGTCACCAACTCGGCTCGCTTGGGTGCACTACTATTAGAGAATACGGTAATTGTTCATTGAAGTTTTTAACGGCTTTTCCTCTTGCTTAGATCTTTAAAACCAAAATTTTCCTTCGTCGCCTAAATTGCTCGAAATCTCAAAAGCCGCTTATCAAAACCTATTGATGTAGGGTTGGAAAATGTAGCTGACGATGAGATCTTGTGGGGGATTAGAGGGCTGAGCTTCTACGAAAACTTAGAAACTTTAAAATAGTCACCAACTCGGCTCGCTTGGGTGCACTACTATTAGAGAAAATACGATTAACTTCTTTTTCTTTTAAAACATTTTTTCAAAGGGTATTGATCCAAAATTCGTATTCCTAGCAAATCCAAATTAAACTTTTATTTTCTAAAACTCATACCGCATCTCGTTTTGATATGTTCTTCAATATAAATTCAGTTTCCCACAGCCTATCCCTCGCTTTAAGCCTCGAGTAACAGTAATTGCTCTTTCCTCGTTTTCTCTCTTTCTCTCCAATCAGTACAAAGCATCCCATCGAACATTTCCCCTCAGGCGCCCGGCTGCGAATTCAAAAAAAGAAACCAGCAATAGCATCGATCGAGGAAAAGAGGAAGGCTGTGAGTGACCCTTCTGCGTGGCCGCCCCACCCCCTTTCCCGCCAGGCCTCTTCTTTATCGTCTCATCCCTCTTCACCTCTTTTCCCCATTCCCCCGAGACTCAATCCCCATTTGGAAGCAGACCTCTTTTGTTTGTCGATTCTTTCATGTCCCAATCTCCTTTCTCTTTTCTCTGACTCATCAACTTTATTGAAGCCACTTTACAGCAATTCCTTCCAAATATCGATTGCCCATTGCCTCCCTTTGCGGGCAATTGTCTCTCTTCCCAGTCTGCCTCTCTCCTCCATTTCCCGCCTATTCTCCCTTTCATTCAAATCGTTCCCTGTTTTCTCATTGATTCCACCATAATCTCCTCTTTCTTTCTTTCTTTATTTATTTATTTTCTTGTTATATTCGATTTCATTCCTTGTCCTCTATTCAAATCTATTCAATATCTTTATTCTAGACAGATGGCCATATCCCTTTTCTCTTAAGAGCTCTCTCCAAATCCTCAAATATCCTCTCTCATTTCTTGATTATTATTCAATAATTGCATATCTCTCTCAAGGATTTGTTAATCTTTCTCTTATTTTTTAGTTTCAATCAAAAAATGCGTGAAATCGTTCATGTTCAAGCCGGACAATGCGGAAATCAGATCGGAGCCAAGGTTTGATTTTAAACTTTCAAAATAAACATATTTCACAATATCTTTTACAATAAACTTTTACTTTTTTAGTTTTCTATAGTTTTATCGTATCTTTTTGTAGTCTTTTGCGATATTTTACTCATTCTTTCTTGCAAACTCTCTTGAATGAAGGAGAAGAATGAATGGAAGGCCAAGGCCGAATGGTGATCGGCTTACCGGTTGGCCGATCCCCCCTTTCTTTTCCTTATCTTTGTTCCAACACTTTTTCTTTCAACTCCTTTTCTTTTCCGGTGTCCAGTGACAAAACTCAAGATGACTCAAGCAGTAAAAAGAGAAAATATTGAAAATATTGAAAATTTTCAGTTCTGGGAGGTGATCTCTGATGAGCACGGCATTCAACCCGATGGCTCGTATGGAGGAGAATCAGATCTTCAACTTGAGAGAATCTCCGTCTATTACAATGAGGCTAATGGTGAGCAAAAAGAATGCCAGTTTTTTCGATAAACAAATTTCAGGTGGAAAATATGTTCCCCGAGCGGTGTTGGTGGATCTTGAGCCAGGCACGATGGATTCCGTGCGCTCTGGTCCATATGGAGCACTTTTCCGTCCCGATAACTATGTCTTCGGTCAATCGGGCGCCGGAAATAACTGGGCAAAGGGACACTACACTGAGGGTGAGTGAAGAAGAAGAAGAAGATTGAATTGGAGAAAGTTTTGAAGGCTAAAATGTCAATGTTTACAGACTCAGGGCTATAAATTATCCTTAAATCTCTTGTAAAGACTCGTAGCTTGTACTTTGTGCTTTCTGGCCAAATTCATCGTAATCTTTCATCAATAGAATCAGTGTTTATACTTGATTGTAGACTTGTTTACAAATTCTAGACTTTTTCAAATTCAGGAGCCGAATTGGTGGACAACGTGTTGGACGTGGTTCGCAAAGAGGCTGAGGGATGCGATTGTCTGCAAGGCTTTCAATTGACTCATTCGTTGGGTGGTGGAACTGGATCTGGAATGGGAACACTGTTGATCTCGAAGATTCGCGAGGAATACCCCGACAGAATCATGTCCTCATTCTCCGTTGTTCCATCGCCAAAGGTTTGTTGAGGAAATCAGTTTAGACAATCAACATTTCATCTTTCAGGTCTCCGACACCGTTGTCGAGCCATACAATGCGACTCTCTCCGTTCATCAATTGGTTGAAAATACTGATGAGACATTCTGCATTGACAATGAGGCTCTTTATGATATATGTTTCCGAACATTGAAACTTACAAATCCAACCTATGGAGATCTCAATCATCTTGGTAAGGAAATGAGAGAGAAAGAAGAAATCTAGAATCTAGACTATAGAATCTAGACTATAGAATCTAGACTATAGAATCTAGACTACAGAATCTAGACTATAGAATCTAGACTACAGAATCTAGACCATAGAATCTAGACTATAGAATCTAGACTATAGAATCTAGACTACAGAATCTAGATTATAGAATCTAGACTATAGAATCTAGACTATAGAATCTAGACTATAGAATCTAGACTACAGAATCTAGACTACAGAATCTAGACTATAGAATCTAGACTATAGAATCTAGACTATAGAATCTAGACTATAGAATCTAGACTATAGAATCTAGACTCTAGAATCTAGACTCTAGAATCTAGAATCTAGATTTCTAGAAGAATCTAGAATAAACGATTAGAATAAACGATTAGAATAAACGATCTCAAGGCTAATTTGAACTTTACCAAAATGTCTTGATCTTTTGCTTTCAGTCTCGATGACAATGTCCGGCGTGACAACTTGTCTTCGTTTCCCCGGTCAACTCAACGCTGATCTTCGTAAATTGGCTGTGAACATGGTTCCATTCCCTCGTCTTCATTTCTTCATGCCTGGCTTTGCCCCATTGGCTGCCAAGGGAGCCGCCGCCTATAAAGCACTCACCGTTGCTGAGCTCACCCAACAGGTAACACAATGTTTTCTAACCTTAACCATTTACTTAGAAAGCCTTAAAAAAAGCTGCATAAATCAAAAGCTTAACATTCCTTTGAACTTGGAATTTGATTCCTATTCCTTTTGATTCCTTTGTAAGGGAGGAAAGGTTCGACCTCTACTATTTAAAAGTCTTGAAGCTGGTTTCTGGAAGTTAGTGTAGTGATGAAGATTATCAATCTAAATGAAAACCCGAATTGCAGATGTTTGATGCAAAGAACATGATGGCTGCTTGTGATCCTCGTCACGGAAGATATCTCACCGTTGCCGCCATGTTCCGTGGACGAATGAGCATGCGAGAGGTGGGATTTTACAAGAAAACTATGAATTTGAATAGCTTAAAATCAAAAAATCTTTAAGAAATCATGAATTTACATTCATTTCAAATCTCGATTTCCAGGTAGACGATCAAATGATGTCTGTGCAAAACAAGAACTCCTCCTATTTCGTCGAATGGATTCCCAACAATGTGAAGACTGCTGTACGTTTTTGTGATAATATTTAGCATTTCATCAATACTATTCTAATATTAGAGTATTTGATTCAAAAAAAAAATCACATTTCAGGTGTGCGATATTCCGCCTCGTGGCCTCAAGATGTCCGCCACTTTTGTCGGAAATTCCACTGCTATTCAAGAGCTTTTCAAGCGAATCTCCGAGCAATTCACTGGTTTGTTATCATAGGGATTTATTCAAAAGACATAATACAGTAAACTTCACCTCTAAATTTGCACCTTTTCAGCAATGTTCCGTCGCAAGGCTTTCCTCCATTGGTACACTGGTGAAGGAATGGACGAGATGGAGTTCACTGAGGCTGAATCAAACATGAATGATCTTGTTTCTGAATATCAACAATATCAAGTAAGAAAAATAGAGAAAAAAAAATGATTTTATCAAAATTTGAATAGAAAAACATAAAACAATTCTGATAAAACAAGAAATTTGATCAGTATTTCAATCAATAACTACCGTAAATACTGTAATTGGACCCCACCCCCATAATGACGGTTCGGAGTGACTAGCGTCTAGTTTTGAACGAGTTTTTCTCGATACTGGTTTAGGCTACAATGCGCGCTTAGGTATCAAAAAATAGCTGAAGTTCAGGGCTATTTTTTGATACCGAAGCGCGTATTGTAGCATAAACCAGCGTTGAGAAAAACTCGTTCAAACCCAGACTACGCAACGCTCCGCACCGTCATTATGCGGGTGGGGTCCAATTACAGTATTTACGGTAGTTTAGTTCAAAGGCCAGCTAATTTAATCAACAAATTTGCATTTAAAGTTTTACAATAGCTACATTGTAATTGAATAGTTTTTCTGTTCTTTAAATAGTCCCTCGAAATACAATCATTTCAAATCATTTTCTCCTTTTCAGGAAGCCACCGCCGAAGATGAAGGTGAATTGGATGGAGATACGACTGAACAACATTATGATCATGAATAGAAAACAAGAAAACAAAAAAAAGCATTCCTGATATTTATTTTTAAAAAAAGAAAATCTCTTCAAAATTTCCCCTAAATCTGCCATTCTTTAACCCATCTTTTTGAGCTTTTCATTTTCATTTTCCCATCAAAAATCTCTCGGCTTTTCCCCAGGCTTCTATGTGTTTTTACAAAATCGCAAAATTATCGCAATGGTCAGTATTTCTTTGTTTAATTTAAGCGCTGTTACTGTTTTTTTTATGAATAAAGCTTTTTATGGCTTTATGAGAATTGAGCTAAAGACAGTGCAGACGCAACAGAAACGAAAAAACAACTTAGAGCTTCTAAACAAGCTTCTAAACAATGTAATAGAAATCTCAATGATTCATTTCAATGTTTCAATGTTGAATTGTTTGCTTTCTCATTGCCTTATTTGAAAAGTGCACACATTTCAAAGCAACACAGCAACACGCACTGATTGTGCGGAAGAAGAAAGAAGAATGATAAGCGAAAATGAGGGAGAGGGGTTAAGGAGACGTGTCCTTTTGCATTGAGACTTCCGATTTTCGTCAATGGCTTTTTCTTGAAGAAGCTCTTGTGATAGAGTTGAGCTTTGAAGTCATGACAGTCTCTCCCTCAAGCGTCAATCCTTTCCCTCCAATCAACGCCTTCTTGTAGTTGCGAGTGGTGAATCGCTTTAGGAAAAAGCCCTCAAAATCACGTTTATCAATCAGTAAACAGTATAAAAGATTGATTATAAAAGATGGCCTTAAAATGAGCTTTATCATCAAATAGGATACTTTATGGTTAACCTATTGGTCCTCTTTTTCAAAAAAGAATAGTTATTCAATAGTTTTTGCTCATTAAAGCTCATTAAAGCTCATTAAAGCTCATTAAAGTTGTCTTGTTAGTTGATGATCTTTAAAGTTGATGTTGATGTTGATAGTTGATAGTTGATGAGCCAGATTTCATATTTCCTTTTAATTCTACCTCAAAAACATTGACCATAAATCTCTTTTATTCAATTCTGATCAAAATTTCAACTTTCCTATCAGTTGCCCCTGAAATCCCGCAAAATTGCTTATCGAAATGCCCAAAATTTTGTGTGTATATTTAGCCGCTTTCCCCCGATCTTTCCCTTCCCTTCCACTCATCTTATCACCCATTTTTACGCACAACTCCTTTTCATTCTTCCCTTCAAAATATGGCCACCATTGACGTAGTAAATGGGTTATTTGTAGAGACAATTCCTACCTTTACAAACTACCTTTAATCGTTCACCAAACCAGATCAAACGATGCTTGTACTTTGAGCTTAGAACTTTCTCTAACTATTAACTAATTAACTATTAACTATTAACTATTAACTATTAACTATTAACTAATTACTTTTTGGAGTTTATGCTATTTACTTTTTTTAAATGTTAACACTTCATTTCAGGCAATAAATTTCAGAAAATGAGAAAAATCTTGGTGTTGGCGTTGATCGGACTTCTCTTGGTCGCCTCAATTGAGGGAGCGAAAAAAGGCGGAAAAGCGGAAAAGGGGTGAAATTTTATGCTTTATTTTATTCTTTATTTTATTCTTTATTTGAAGCAAATAACTACATAAACCTAAAATCTGTTTGAAAACAAAAAAAAAAAGCGCACATTGACCTCAATCGGGGACACCTCATTTCCACATTCATGAGAGCGGGGGAAAAGGAGGGGAATACCTTGGAAAGAAGTGAGAATTGAGAATGGGTACAAAATAAATCTATAAAAGTTCTAAATAGATTCTTTTTCAATAGAATATTTAGAAAAAAGGGAGCTAAAGAAGAGAAAGGAGCTAAAGCCGAGAAAGCGAAGGATCCAAAGGCGAAAGCGGAAAAGCAGAAAAAGGTAAACTTTTTAATTCATCAAAAAGCTGAGTAGATTTCGATTAGACATTTAATTATCATTAGAAAATAATATAAAAATAAATTAAATCAAGTATTTAGACGCATTTACAGATAGACTTTTCAAAACAGATAGACTTTTCTTTAGGTTGAAGAGCCGATTGCCGAAGTCGAAGAAGTCGAAGAGCCAGTACTTGAGGAAGCTGTTGAGGTAAAATTTATGGAAATTGAAAGAATTCTAAACTTGTATTGTATTTCATTTCATATAATATAGTGCTATCTATCTTTTCATTTGATAATTCTTGAGCCCCAATTAGTCAGTGAAACTCACAGCCCTCTTAGCTATAAGTCGAAAATTGCTCGCTCTCTTGCAGTGTACGGTTTCAAATAATGCAAGCTAATGATCTAAAGCTAAAGCTAATGATCTAAAGCTAAAGCTAATAATCTAAAGCTAAAGCTAATGATCTAAAGTTAAAGCTAAAAGTGTATCAAGCGTTTATCTTAACATTAGTGTGTTTGGATTAAGACTTTTCGTCTTTTGCAATTGTACAAACTATTGTACAAACTATTGTACAAACTTTGATTTATCAATTTAACTATTATTTGTACTTTCACTTCAACCACAATCACGAGTTCAATAAAGGGGCTAAAATGTGAAAGGAGTCGAATTTTCGAACAAAATCCATCAAGATTTGTCCGAAAGCAATCATTTAACTAATTTAAATTCGATTTAACACTGACTTAATAGTGAGAAAATGAAAAAAATTAAACAATAGACTGATTGGGGCAGAAAAAGAGACTTAGGCGAGACAGTTGAGCGAACAATTAGCATTTTTTTCATAGTCGTTTCACGTTTATCTTTGTTTCACGTTTTGAAACCACTTTTGAATATAAATCGCAGCAAGAGTCCTAAATATTTCGCACAAAAAGCCTTAAGCCAAAAACAGTTAATGAGAAAAACTCTTGAAAGATAAACTTTTGCGAACACTCTACTCTTTCAACACACCGGTAAATAATTGAAAGGCTATGCTTTTTGAATGGTTGACCGTTGAATCGTTAACCGTTGAATGGTTTTTTTCGAGTTTGTGCTTTGCATTTTCTTTTCGAAATGGACAAGGGTTGCGAAATTCGGTTGGTGGAGGAGAATGAAACGAGGCCTATGCTCTGTTCTTTCTTTCTGTTGATCTCTCTCTTTTCTATTGCATTTGCTGTGTCTTTGTCTCTCTCTTTTCCATTGCCATTTCCCTTTTTCTTTCCCTTTCCACCAATACGGCACCACATTTGGGGGTAATTGAAAATAGGAAAAAGAGGGGAGACTCGGGTCATTCACCCCTTTCTCTCAGTCATTCAAATGAGGGACTTATCTTGAATTCAATGACCTTTTCGTTATGGAGAAAATAATCAAGAATAATCCTACTATTGTCAGTCAATGAAAAAGTGCACTGTACAGAAAAGGATAAAGAAAGGGTGGAAAATGAAATGCTCAAAAGAATTGTAGCTCATGGATTGAAGGCTTTTCAAATTCTCATTGTAATTCCTGCAAAATTCAATCAAATTCAATCAAATTCAACCAAAAATTCAATCAAATCTTTGCAGGAACCGATCATTTTGTGCCCACACGCAGTTGGAGGTCATCTTCCAATCGATGCCACTCACGCTAAACTCGTCAAGCCAAAAAGTCTCAAGGTTAAGAATTCAGCAAAAGAATACAACTTTCTAATTGAGTTCTATCATTCTATCATTCTATCATTCTATCATTTCAAATCCAATCTCCAGGTGCTTGGTCAATACGAACAATGCAAAATGGAATGCAAAAAACAAAGAGATCAAGTTACAGCACAACAGGTAAAGGAAATAAGAGATCTATTTACTGTGCAGGAAATCTATACTACAGACTTTACAGATTATTATAACTAATAGTCACCAAATTCAATTGTTCACGATTTTTTCAGTATGTTGAGCAATTGAAGTCGGAATTGGCAGCTGCCGAGCAAGCTCTCACCGATCAAGCCGCTGCCCTCGCCGCCGCTTCAGCTGTTGATTCAGCCCATCAGGAACCAGTTTGTTTTATCTTTTTTGATAAGAGAAGCTGGAGATGAATACTTATTTCTAAAGCAAGCCATTTCTTTCCAGGCAGCCGCTCATCACGAACCAGCCGCTCATCACGAGCCAGCCGCTCCAGCCGCCGCTCATGCCGCTTAAACGATTTAGAAGAACGCAATTTTGCAATTCTGTGCAATTTACTCTCCATATTTCTAGAATTCTAAAATAAAATACTAATAAAAAAACATTTACATGTACATATATGGAAAAACACTTAAAACGAAATGACTGTCCAAGTCGAAATGAGATTCGAGTCGATCTCTTAAAACGAAATGAGATTCGAGTCGATCTCTTAAAACGAAATGAGATTCGAGTCGATCTCTTAAAACGAAATGACATTCGAGTCGATCTCTTAAAACGAAATGACTGTCCAAGTCGAAATGACATTCGAGTCGATCTCGCAAATCTCGTAAACTCGCAAATCTTTTCCATCAATTCCATAAAAGAAAATTCTATTATTCTATCTACATTCAATTGTATCAATTATTTAAAACCATAACCTACAACACCTGCATTCTGTGATTCTTTTAGAGAAAAGATAATGCCCGTCAAACTTGACTTGCATAGAGATGCAAGTCAAGTTTGATCCATTCAGATCCATTCCGTTACCGACTTTTGCCTGTATGTCTTCATTCAATGCCAGCACTGATCTCTTCTGTCATTCTAGACAACGTGTGGAAAACAAAAAGAAATGCGCCTCTCGCGGCTTTTCTTCAGTCTTTGTCTTTCCATTTCCCGTTAAATCAGTCAAAAGTGACTTCTTCATATTCGAGACGTCTGTATACAGGGTGGGCCAAAATTACCGTTACAATGTTCACTCAAGCGCAAATGTGAAAGCAAAATGGGAAGAAAGTGAACGGTAACAACTTCAGCAAATGTCAAAAAAAAAATGAGAGGAATCGCCTGTTGAAAACGGCCAAACTAATCGGTGCGGAAAATGTCACAAAAAATGGGTATACAGAGCGAATATCCCTTAGAAGAATCATCAAAAACAAGCTCAAGTTAAAGGCCTACATGAAAAATAAATCATAAATGCTATCAGTTGACGCTATCAACCACAAAAAAAAATGTTGATAGTTTGAAAAAAGCGCTCGAAAAGGTTTGGGAAGATCTGCTGGATCTGCTGGATCTGCTGGATCTGCTGGATCTGCTGGATCTGCTGGATCTGCTGGATCTGCTGGATCTGCTGGATCTGCTGGATCTCCTATGCCTTCTCGCCACGATCGACGCTTTTCTATGACGTTTGGAGGCCTGTGTAAAAGCTATTGCTGCTTGAAAAGGAATGCTTCTGATCTGCTTGAAAAGGAATAGTTTTTATGAATTGTTTTGAGACAATAAAAGTTATTTTTAAGAAAAATCTTTGACCTTTTTATAGTGCTTTTTATACAGAGACTTTTTTATATGTAACGGTAATTTTGGCCCTTTTGGCCCACCCTGTAAATAGACGTTTCAAAATCTTCGATGAACATCTTAATAATAAATCGTTTTCCAATCCATTCAGATCCATTCCGTTACCGACTTTTGCCTGTATGTCTTCATTCAATGCCAGCACTGATCTCTTCTGTCATTCTAGACAACGTGTGGAAAACAAAAAAGAAATGCGCCTCTCGCGGCTTTTCTTCAGTCTTTGTCTTTCCATTTCCCGACACGGATTGGATTGAGAGAAAAGACGTGCAAACAGTCTTCTCTCGAATACAGGAATCCTCCGCACTTGCCGGTGGCACTTTCTTATGAAGTGACGAAGAAGTGAAGAAGTGAAAAAAAAAAGAGAAACAGAAGCGGAACCCCATCCATCCAATTCTTGATGATCTTTCTTTTCTCCTTTTTTTTTTCTTTTTCCCTTTTTGGACATGCCCATCGATAGATCCGGTCCATTCGTTTGCTTCTCACCGCTTCTTTTTTCTATTCCCTTTCCTGTGCTCTCCATTCCCCCTTGTTTTCTTCTACAGATAAACCATTTCTGCTCATTACATTGTTTTGTCTTTATTTTATTTTATCTAAGCTATGTTACGCTATTTCTTCTTTGTTTTTTTTCTTGGATGGATCGAGTCGCGGATTGCCACTGAAGCTGAGACGAAATCAGCATTGAATGTAAAAAAAAAAAAGAAACTGAAAATCACATCTTGACTTATAAAAATCTAACTTTAGAAATTATTAGAACAAGCTGGTGAGATGAGTATTGTGGAGATCAATGCTGAAGTGGAGAGGATTATTTCATTGTGAGTTTAAGGAAATCGTTTTTATCTCCATTTTCTGTCGATTAGTCGATTTGTTTTGTCTAGTCGATTAGTCGATTTGTCTCGATTTGTCTAGTCGTTTAGTCGATTTGTCTCGATTTGTCTAGTCGACTAGTCGATTTGTTTCTATATAGAACTTGTAAAAGGCTAAAGTGTATCAAATTTTCGTATCAAACTAAAGTGTATCAAGTGAAAACAAATCAAAGCAATCACATAAAGTTGGCGTCACGAAAAGTCTGCTTTTAAAGACTTTTTTTAGTCTTGTGAGCCAAAAGCATTTGTCAATTTGCTTTCAACTTTCTACAATTCTAGTCTGATTTTCTTAAAAGCAAATTTTGATAATCTATCTGAAAGAATAATGATTTTCCTTTAAAACTATACCTTAAATAGTCAGATTGCTTTTGAAATTATTGATTTTCCTAGCCTAAAAATCGCCGAAGATCAAGAGAGTTGCGTAAGAGTCGATTGAAAACAAAAGAAAACATTAAAAATGTACTTGAAAGAACAAATTTCTCTTTAAAAACAAACACATACAATAATAATAAATAATAATTACAATAATACAATAATCAACTCCGTAATAATTGAATTTTCTAAATTTCAGTTGCATTTTGCTCTTTCTTGACGAATTTTTATTATAATTAATGTAATTTATAACATTATTAATGCGGACAGAACTTTTTCAGCCACCTTGTAATGAATGAATGCCTAGAAACACTTCGAAAAGTTATTGCTTTGCTTTATTGCTTATCTTTATTAGAAAATCTTTCAGATTGCCCGAAGGTCAGCGTCGAGAACATATGGAAATGCGAAAATACACATTTGCCGAAGAAAGAGAACGACAGATAAAGATTAGGGTAAAAAAAAAAAGAGTTAGACTCGAGATCTAATTCAGATAAACTTTAGCACAAACTTACTTAAACTTAAACTTAAACAACAAACTTAAAGTATTACCTACTAAACTTACAAAAACCTTACACAAAATTACTGAAGTTTTCTCATTTTACATTGTATATACATTGTAAGATATTCAGTGCACCAGCCTCTGTAGCCTTTTTACTTGAAAACTATACGGCAAAATATCGTACGTAGCTTACCATCAGTTGGAACTAAAAGATCAAAATTTGTTCAAAAAGTCATGCGCCGCCGGGACTCGAACCCGCGATCCCTCGCTTACCGAACAACTGTGCTAACCACTATACCACCACGCAGCTTATCGGCCTTGCTCCTGAGGGAGCCAAGTATTCAATTGATCACAACCTTACTCTTACAGGATTTTTCTTAATTCTTCATTAATTAAATATTAATTACAGTACAATATTAACTTTTATTGCAGGAAACTCTCCCTCAACTCTCCGTGAAAGCACAACAACGTTTGGTTCGGATCATCATGGTGCAAGAGCACAAACAGCTCACACAAAATGAGAAAAGAAGAAGGCTCAATTATATTAAAGTAATCAAATGATACGAAATTTGCGACAAAAGTACAATTTTATCTATTTTTCCAGCAAATGATGAACCCACAAATTGCCGACGAGCTCGCAAAACATTTCACTCAACAACAGCTCTATCGACTCGCTTTTTGATTTGAATGCATTAATAAATGATTTGTTTTGAAAGATATCTACAATCCTCAAGCTTTCACTCCTACTTTTTCTAATTTTTGCGAATTTCTCGATTCAAGCGAAAAAACGTTGGTGAACCTATCTAAAAATTTGAAGCAAAAGCAAAAGAAGAAAAGAGAGAAAAGTCTAAGCAAAGAGAGATCTTTTGAGAGCCCTCAAAAAAGAGAAAAAAAGGGGAGGAGATTGGGGAAATCTGTGCGGGGGCTGTAAAGGTAAACGAATGAGAAATGGAGGGTGGAAAGAAGACTGTATTAGACAAGAGAGATTGGGTAAAGAAGAGATCACGGGGATTTCGAGAAGATCTCATGAGGGAAGGGAAGGGAAAGGCGGAGGGTAAGGGAAGGGGAAGGGATCCTCGTTGGCCCTTCACCTCATCCACCGCTCTTCCCTCCTTCAGACTTCTGCCCAGTCCTTTTCTTTTCATTTTTCGACAACCTATCCAACTGAAATCATGGTAAGTTTCTGAATTATCGATTTTTATGTTCTTATATTTTCGTTTTAAAGATTTGAATTGAATAGCATTAAATGCTATGGCAAAGAATCAACAATTAGAAATTTTCACCTCCATTTCTAGGACACTAAAACAGAGTGTTGAGCTCTCCCAACAAACACTTTTTCTATCTATAAAGTGTCAACTTTCTCAACAATCATAATCTTGGCTCTATTTTTTTTTGCTTTTTCTATCTTCCATTATTCTTTGTAAGCTTTCACAGAATTAGACTAAAGTGATAGAATTCGTCAAAAAAAATATTAGAGACAAGCTTACAGTAGTTGAAGATGATAAGAGCAACTCTGGGTTCGAGTTTAAAATACTATAGCGTTCAAATATTCATTTCAAAATTCAGGGTGATGCCGTGGCGGACGCTTTGGAGCAGCTCAGTTCCGAGCAAATTGAGCGTAAAGAAAAGAAATTCTTTCATCATTTACATACATTTCAGAATTCCGAAAATATTTCAACATGTTCGATAAAGAGAGCAAGGGATATATCCGGGCGTCTCAAGTAAAATCAAAGAGGAGAAATTTAGAACGGCTTTTCAGGTTGGTCAAATCCTCCGAACAATGGGACAAGCTTTCGAAGAGAGAGATCTCAAACAACTCATCAAGGAATTCGACACTGATGGTTTGAGAAACTTTTAAAAAGATATTTGCTCTAAACTTTTGACAAATTTAATCAAAACCTTCTCATATCAATGCTTAATTTGTAGAGGCTAAGGGCGTTTTTGGATTCTCACAAATATATTTAAAAACCGTTTTTTTGCACAACCCAGCCGATAAACAACTTACAATTCGGTACAAAGTTTCGGTAAAGCTTTTGAATTCAAAACTTCAATTAGGGCAAATAAAAGTGGGAAAATCAAAATGGGCTTAAAGGAAACTACATGGATACTGTAAAACTTTTGAGCGTTTGCAAAATGGATTTACTTTTTTAATCCAGGATCCGGAGAGATCGAGTTCGAAGAGTTCGCGGCAATGGTGGCCACATTTGTGGTCGGTGGAGCAGATGATGAAGGATTAGAAGAAGAATTGAGAGAAGCATTCAGACTTTACGATAAAGAGGTAAATGAAAACAAGAAAGGAAATAGACACAAATGGTTTCAGGGAAACGGCTACATCAATGTATCCGATTTGAGGGATATCTTGAGAGCTCTTGATGACAATATCAATGAGGTGATTTCACGAAAGAAATTGAAATGAGAAACGATCATTACAGGATGAATTGGACGAGATGATTGCTGAAATCGATCAAGACGGATCGGGAACTGTCGATTTTACCGGTTCGTATAGTTTTCACTTACTTTAATCAACTTGTCACAGTTCAAAAGGCCTTTATTCTTTCAGAATTTATGGAAATGATGTCAGGCGAATAATTGATGCACAATCAATGTATCTCAAAAAGCATTTTCGCATTTTTAAAGTACATTTAATAAATAACAGACTTTTATGTTTTTAAAACGCGGCCAGTTAAAATAAGGCTTAACTTTAAACGTTTTATTCGTTCGTTTGTTAGATTAAATCGAGATCACTAGCATGAGAAACATTTAAAACCGTCACATCAACCACAAACAGTAATAATACCGAATAAATACAAAATACCAACGAATAAATATACTTTCTTTAATTTCATTTATTGACGTAACGTTCGACTTGCGATGTGCCATCCTAAAATGAATCAATCAGTCAAATTCTTACTAGAAAACCACCTTGAGAGTTTCTCAACAAAAATTACCTACCTGGAATTTTGTGCGGAAAAGAACATTTGCGTTATTGAACATTCCCTCTTTCAGTGAAACGATAATGAACTGAAATATTTAAATTGTTTTAAAAGTTTAGCCGGAGAATGAATACCTGACTATTCGTGAAATGTTTCTTAATCATCGTTCCAATATTTTGAGTGTGAGCAAGATCCAAGGCAGCATCAACCTAAATTAAATAGTTAACGGATTAATATATATAGGAAATAACCTCATCAAGAATGTAGAGTGGCGCCGGTTTGAACTTCAGCATTGCGAGTACAAGAGAAAGAGCAACAAGTGAGCGTTGGCCTCCACTCAACTCTCCAAGACTCTCCTTCCATTTTCCGTTGAAACCGACCTTAATAAAAAAAGCATGATGTGGTATTTAAAATGAAATCTCACGTTAGTATAAAGCACTACATTATACTCACTTTCACTTCAAGCCCATCGAGGGCCGTCTTTCCAGAAGGCGGTTGCAACTTTGCTTCAGCACCCGGAAGAAGCGTGGTGAAAATATTGCCAAACTCCTAAACACTTTTTATTGCAACAAATGAGACGACTTTCTTTGTACCTTTGTAACTTTCTCATATGCACGAATGACTTCTTTTTCTTTCCGTTCATCAAGTGTCTTAATTGTTTCGAGAATTGTCTTCTTGTCAGCGTGGAGAATTTCCTTCTTCTTTTGCAGATTCAACACCTTAAATAAAAATAATAATAATAAATTTCAATGTTTCTGCCAAACATTATCCTCAGCTGCTTGCAAAATCTGCATTCCATTCAGATTCAACGATCGACCAAGTTTCGTCTTTCGCTCCTTTGTACTTTCCAAGTCTTTCTTTCCGTGTTCGTAGGAATAACTAAAATCGTTGCACTTGAGACATAAGAGAATTTTTTTACTCATTTGGAAATTCAAGATCCGTTCCTTTGGCTCCAATCTGATCTTCGATATCAGCTATCCAAGCATAGTCTTTCAGGATTTCCTAAATGAATTAGTCCTGCCATTTTTATTTATTTATCCTGCCATTTTTTAGTTTAAATTCAAAATTGTCACATACAGCGTATTGTTTCTTGAATCGCTTGGCTAATTCTTTGTGTTCTTCGGCGCTCTTACGGTAGTCTTCACGGTTGTTTTCCTCGGTCATCAACTCCTAAACAAGGGCATTATCCAAAATTAGCACTTGCTTATTTACCTTCTTAGATTTATCAATCTTTTGAGCAAGTTTCTTCAACTCATCGTTTTTTCTTCTGACTTCTTCTCGGTAAACATCCAGCTCTCGTTTGAACACTTCCGCTTTCTCCTAAAGCTCGATTTAATTCTAGATACATGGTTTTACTGTATACCTTAGCAGAATTCACAAGTTCATCCTTCTCCTCCAGGGTAGTCTTTATTTCTTCTCCTCGTTTGTTGATGTTGCAAATTTGCTCTCTTTGATCTTGAATTTGCCGTTCAAGCGTTGCCACCTCTTCCCTAAACTTAAGTGATAAAAGAGTATCTTGAATAAACTAACCTGCGAATAGCCAGCATTTCTTTTGCTCTTTCAGCTTCGGCTCCAAGCGCTGCAAGTGCCTCTTCGGCAGCCTTGAGCTCTTTCTTCGCCTTCTTTTCTTCTTGTTCCTATTTAAATGTTTGAATTTAAATAGTAGTCAATCGTGCAACCTTGAAGAGCTTTGCGTTTTTCTTGCGATCTTCATATTGCTTGACACTTTCCGCCAATTCTTTCATGAGCGTTTGATTCTTCTTTAATCGTGCCGTAATTTGTTCCAACTCCTAAAGGAAACTAATATTTAGCTTTTCGTAGGCTTAACCTGTTCCAATTCAGTAATTTCCGTTCGTAGAATCTGAACAGGGCTCTGGCGAACATTTGACTCCAAGAAATCAACGCGCTCATTGATCTAAAACTTTATAATGGCATTTAAGAGTCGAGCATCACCTCGATGAGTCGATTGTTGGCTTGTTCAAATTTATTACGTGCAGGCTCAAGTGCTTGAAGTTGTTCTAAAATCTCGCAATGTTCAAAATTTTTATTAAAAAATTCAAACCGTCAACTTGAGCCAACTCCTTTGTTTTCTGGTCGACAAGTTTTGTGTACTCGTTGATGGATTTAGCAGCAACAATAACAGAATTTCGTGTATCTCGACTACCTTAAAATCAAAATTATCATATCAATTGCTAAAAAAATTGTTTACCTCCAGATCCAGATCCACTTGGTTGATAAGTGTCACCTTCTAATGTGACAGTTTTTGTCTTGATCTCACGATTATACGTAATTAATGAAGCGGTTTCTTTCGTCTCGCAGATGATCGTCTAAAAATATTTAGAAACTAATTTTCTATGTATAGTTTTCTAGCAAGCCTTTAATAAATCGTTTAGACTCAACTCCCAATACCGATAATTGCAATTTGCGGTAATTTTATCGCCGCCCCTTTTTTCTTTCCATGTGATTGTTATTGGTACCCCCTTCAAATTATACAACTTTCACGTTTACTGCTTTTTTCCTTATTGATTGTTTTCTTTCTTGATATTTTGGCTTGAATAGATTTAACGTCAGCGCTATTTCGTTTGAAAATCGAGAGTAATTAGCCCTTCGAAAAAAAAGATGGGAAATTCCGAATAATTGTAGTCGCTAGAATTGACAAAAAACTTCGCATTGATGGCCTTTCAAGGCTTCAATTAGTACCATTTTACTTTAAAGTATGCATTATTGATGCATTTCTTTATGATTTTATTCTTTTTTTGCTACAGATTGGCAAAACTGTCATTAAAACTATTCTTAACAATGACAAGCACGTTGAAAATTTTGTGTTTCCACCCAGAGTACTTTGATATTCAATTCATAGATTCCAGCAAAAGCAAAAAAATCTCCTCCGCCGCTTGCGCCATCCTCTTTATTTTTTGAGGGAACATTTCGGAAAACTCATCAAGGATGACGGCCCAAATAGCTTCAATTATTCATTAGTAATATCGAAAATGTAAACCCCAAAAGGGAACTTTCAAAATATTCAACGTTGCCTGCGTTCTATTGACAGCCATTGAAATCTTTGACTGGTTAGAAAAAAAACTTGAAACAAGATAGCATTTTAGATCATGTCGTTAAGGGCAATTGTTGAGCGCACTTTTTCGTTGAACAACAAAGAGCCGAAACAAGAGGCGAAGCAACAACAAGCGACAATTCAAGATGAGCCACAAGGGTAACTCTTTTTTCTATTCTCACGAAGAGGCTTCAAGAAAACGCTGACTCAGTTAATGAGTTTGAGTTCTTTTTACTACAATCAAGCTTTTGAAGTTCAGTAACTTTTTTATTTTGTTAATCAATATTTTGCAGTTAGGTTCTTATACTTACTGTGCCAAACACGTATTCCATCACTTTTGACAGTGGTTCTTCATATTTGATCAAGTCCAGAGCAAGCCAGCAATCTTCATTTCGCTCTCTTGCCTAAATCAAAAATATTAGCTTGAGATTTTCATTTTATTTCACTTTACGATAAAGTCATGCCGACATCAATTTCATTTTAAGAACCTCAGTGGGAGCAAGTGCCCATCAAATCTGCGATAAGAAAGCTGGTGCTCATAGAGTGAAAAAAAGAGATCACCGAGTCCCCCACCTGCGTCCCTACCCTTCTCCGTTTTTTGCCGTCCCTACCCCTTCAGTGCCCTTTTTGGGGCTAAGTGAGGGGGAACGAAGGGGAAGAAGGGGCTTTTCGCCCGCCCATTCGTTCCCCATCGAGCGCCTCTTTCTTTTCATCATTTTAGGTTCCTTTTCTTTTTATTACATGCGAGTCCTATAGAGACCCTCACTCTGCTCTCTACTTCCTTTCTACTCTCTTTTCAACTCCTAACAAAGATCTTAGAGTATATTGCTTATACATATCGCCTGAAGCAATTTGTGGATGGGGATCTCAGTCGAATAGAGGAAGGGCATATTTATGGGGATTTCAAAAATTTCATTTTCTTTTCCCTTTTCACCACCTCAAATGAGGGTCGAGCGGCATTAGAGAAAAAAATAGTGGTCGAAGCAGTGAGAGCTGGCTGCCTAAACAAGAGGCAGCGCGTCGTCTTCTCATTTTTTTTCTTTTCAACCACCCCTCGGGAATTGCAGAGAGCTATTTCACAAAGATTCTTCAATCTTTAAAACTTCTGAAACATAACCCTCATTGTGCACATGATGTTTAGAGAATAGAACATTAAATTTGATAGACTAACACTGTTTACTTGGATTATACATATGTACCTTTGTATTTTATTAATTGAGAAACGCTTACAATTCTTTTCGCAGCTTGCATTTTCTGATTTGCGAGCACTTGATTTTCGATTCGATCCAATGGCAGAAAAGTTGTCCTTTTTTGTAGGGCACCCTTTGTGTCGATAAGTTGTTTGGAAACAGCCCCTTCTGTCACGATCACTTGCATTAACTAAAAAAAGACAATATATTCCCTTTTTTCCAATTCCTATGAAACCCCTTTCAGCCAAAATCCCGGCAATATTGGACTAGAAATGACCCAATAACATGGCTACTAAAACTGAAAAGCCCCCAATATGGAATGAAAAAGAAACGCGCTAATGCTTCTAAATCTCACAAAATCTTTTTTCTGGTTGTTATTTTCAGATTCAAAATTTAGACAAATGGATGATGTAATTCGTTTAAATGTGGGTGGGACTTCTTTTTGCACCACACGATCAACGCTTCTCCGAGATCCTGCTTGCCTTTTTGCCAAAATTTTGGAAACCGAAGACGATGTAAGTATTGTCTATGCTTATTACTTGCAAGCAATCTTTACAGGTCGCCTCAATTGTTCATCTCGACGATGGATCGATATTTATTGATCGAGATGGAGCTATGTTTGTTCATATTCTACAATATATGCGTTCTGGAAAACTCATCTTACCTGAAAATTTCAAGGTATGAATGCCAATTTTCACTTTGAAAAGTGAAAATTTTAGGATTTGAGCCGTTTAATGGATGAAGCTCATTTCTTTAATATGAAAATTTTACAAGAAGAAATTGGAGCTACATTATCGCCAAGAGCCTCTTTAAAAGTCAGCGCAATGGCCAATGGAAATTTGCTCGGTATGGCTGAAACCGGTAACAAGCAAACTAACGCTCAAAGATCTAAAACAAATTAAAGGAGGTTATATCACTTTGGGTTATCGTGGGACTTTTGCCTTTGGAAGAGATGGTCAAGCCGATGTAAAATTTAGGTTCGGCTTAACAAAATTTTTTTTTAAGTCACTTCAGAAAACTGCATCGCATACTAGTTTGTGGCAAAGTTGCGTTATGCCGAGAGGTGTTCAGCGACACGCTGAATGAAAGCAGAGACCCGGGGGATCGTGATGGAAGTGAGCGATACACGTCGAGACTGTATCTCAAACATCAATGCCTTGAAAGAGTAAATGCTAATAGGATTTGCTGATTTGCTATCAAATTATAGGCATGTGATGCGATGGCCGAAAAGGGCTTTAAGTTAGTTGCAACTTGTTGCAGTGGAGCAAATGGGTTGGCTGCACCAAATGCTCCCACGTCACAACAAGGCCCACCATCACAAACAGTACCCAATCTCATCAGACAACAAAGATGAAATTTAGGATCTGATGACCCTTCGTAATAGTGGAGATTATGAAGAACAGAGATGGGCTCATTACACGGAATATGTATTCTATCGAGAGCCAAGAATGCCCGGAGATTCGCCGAGAGCTCACTCGCCTGCAAACCCAAACAGAACCCAAAATGATTAAATGAATCAATTGATTGTTTAATTAATCAATGCTTTCCAAATTATTACAGCTAGTCAGCTAAGTTTGTTCTCATAATATACGTTTATCCTCTCGCATTGGATCATTCAAAAAAACTTTCTTATTAACGAGTTGAGGAGGATTTCGTCTATTGCGGAGAATAATAATTATCACGTTTTTAATGTTTTATGTTTTAGTAACCATGTATCAACCTTCAACTATGCAAAATGCCTATAATACGCTTATTTTATGAGTCCTTGATGTTCGCTTTGACTCAATAAAGTTATTTATTAGTAGACTTACCCGAGCACCACCAGCAACTTCTAATGCCAAGTTGAACCTGTCCTCATTGGGCACAAAATGACGTACCGTGTAACCCATTACCTAAAAGCAGTAAGTTTCAAGACCATCATTGTTAACAAAATCACCTTTGATGGATCAAAAGAGGCAGGCAAATTTTGTCGATTGTACTGGAAGTTCAGATGACCATTTCTAAATGTATTAGTGTATTCAAGAGTTTTTATACTATTGAGAGTTACCTATTGAGAGCGTCTTTCAATCGATTCTCGCCTTGTTGCTTGTCGAAGACGATTCTTTGATGTCGTTGGTTGATAACATCATATTGATTTTCATCAAAAGATAGCCCACCCAGCGTCTTCTAAACTTTGATTAATAAAATCTGTCACTTGAAAATCGTTCCGTACCTCCAATTTAGTCTTTTCCTTTAGAAGGCTGTCCAATTCATCGCCTTTGTCGCTCACTTGTTTACTCATAGAGGCCACTTCTTTTCGCTTCTCATCAAGCTCCGGGCGCAACTGCTTCTCACTGAAATGTAATGATCAAAATAAATTTTCATTTTTCGGTCACTAACCGTGTTTGATCTTTCTTAAGGTCTGTTGTCAACTTTGAGAGTCGTTCCTTTGTCTCTGAACTTGATTCAATGACAAATCAATGACACTATGAACTCACGATTAATCTGCGCTTCAACGGTGATTGCATTTCCCTCTTGATCGGTGGTCATTCCTTGCATCACTGCCGCGAGATGAGTTCGGGCTTTCTCTGCTCGTTCTTCAGCCTCATTCACTAAATAATTCAATAAGACAAATACATAAAGAATCAGACAAAATTACAAATCAAGTAAACACACTTTTTTGTTCTTGGCTTCCTTCGCCTTCAAGCTCAATAAGTTCTCGACGTTTCTTTTCCATATCGGCTGTATCCTGCGTGGTAAATTAGACGTGTCTTTTTATAAAATTTTTACTTGAGCATTGGCCTTTTCCAATCTTTTGATCTCACTAGCACCTCGCTTTTGTTCGGCTTTCAGGGTGTCACGATCACTTTCTATTTTGGCCAGCTCCTTGTTAACAGCGGCAGCTCTCTCCGTCATTTGCACATCTTCATCTTTGTCTTTCTAAAACAAAAATATAATGATTTGATTTTGAAATATTTACAGCGCTCCTCGCATCCTCGAGTACTTTGTATTCAGCCTCCAATTCCACGATGGCTTCTTTTAATTCTTCATCCTACAAGCATTTTATCACTGTAATGTATATAATTTCTTCTCAACCTTTTGGCGCGAAGCATCAATCTTTCTGATCATCTCTTCAACTTGCTCCAATGAAAGTTTTTCTTCGTTCTAAAACAAATATTGCCCTTTAGACTGTAAAGTTTTTTCACCTTGCTATGATAATAGACGAAGGCATTCAGGCGACGTTCTTTCTCCATGATTTTCGTGTCTAGTCTAAAACAAACATATCGTCAACAAAAAAGCTTTTTAAACGCACTTTTGATACTCGATGAAAATTTCACGATCATTCCTGAGCTTCTCAAGAGTTGGAAGAATATCTTTGTCAAGAAGCTTAAAAGGAATAAATTCCAAATCAATGATAAATATAGATACTTGGTTAATCTCGTTAATCTTGTTTTCCTTCTTCTGTATAATTTCCAGAGCCGCGTCACGTTTTGCATCGTAAATTTTTGTTCCAGCAGCCTCTTCAAGCATAGCAAGAATCTAAAAAGTAAACGCTATTGTGACGTGAGTAGGTAAATTACCTCATGTGGCTTCATGTTCAAAACTTTTGTGATACGTCCTTGCATGATGAGGAAATGAGGATTGTTTACATTGAGACCAACCGAACGGAAGAAATCAGCCACCTAAATTCACCTTTAATTACCTAGCCAAATGGTTATAACTTACCTTGTTTTGAGGATTTGATATTCCATTGATCGTGTAAGTATTGCGTCCATTTACAATAATCTAAAGTAAGCTCTCGAAGATAATATTGATACATGAATTACAAGATACCTGGCGACGGACAATGATTTCATCAAAAGCGTGATATCCAATAGGTGAAACTTTCTTGTCGGAATTGTCGAAGTAGATACTCACAACAGCTTTGTTCACGCCTGCTTGACCCTTAAACAAAACTTATTGCTTCTTTTTTTAGATAGTAGATTATAATAAAAAAAAGATAGGTACTTGTTTATAGACGAGATCAATCAATTGTTGTGCTCGAATACATGACAGATTAGTGATTCCCAAGACAAAGCAGATTGAGTCGAGAATGTTCGATTTTCCCGTTCCATTGAGACCCTAAATCAAATCCATAATCAACCAGTGACAAATCAAAATTTACAGTGATTGCGTTAAATTGTGTGTCAAATTCATCAACTGTCGTCTTTCGCACATACGATTTGAACCCTTCAATCTCGATCTTCTTTATGTGCATACCTGAAATCAAAGAAATTACTCCCTTTATCGATCATTAAATGAGTAGAAATATTAAAAACGAGATCACATAATGTAACATCACAATGCAGAATTCGAAAAAAGCTATATTAAGTATCATATTCATCATCGTATTCAGCTGTGGTCGGTTGTGTGAATAGGGACTGACCCATGTGAATCTAAAACGAAATAGATAAAGACAATTAGTATTGAGACCTCTCCCGACGATCCTTCTTGTGCTTGTGAAGCCTGTTGTTCTTGCTTTATTCTTGCTTGTTCAATCAATCTTTGCTGCATCATGTAAAGTTCCTCTTCTGGTATTCCGCATCTAAAGTTTTCAAAGTCAAACTCTTCCACACAGAACATACTTATCCAATCGCGAGTTTTTTCTTCTTAGCTTCTTCTCGGCCGCCACCTTGCATTCATCCAAAACACTATCTGCAGCCTAAACAAAAGGTAGATAACGGTTTTAGGGCAAAATGCTCACTTCAACGTAGTCTTGTGTAAAGTCCAAATTGATGAGAGCCCGCTGCACATGTTCATGATAGATGGTCTTCCGTTGATCGTGTGAAGAGATGTTTTGCGCTTCTCGAGAAACATGCTTGATGAATTCGACACAGCATTGATTCAGCAATTCGCGCGACTCGTTTGCAATCCGCATTTCGGGAAGAACATCCTAAATCGAGAAATCATTATTTAAGCATCAGCGTTTTCATATTTGCTCAAATCTTAATAACTTCAACCAGCCATTGGCCTAAATCAGCTTAAAGAAATTTTTCGAGAGATGCCAAATGCACTTTTATGTCAACAAAAATATTATAACCTTACCTTTATAATCATGTTGAGCCCTTTTTGCGGAAGTCCGACCTCGTTGTCCTCCTCCATTACGCTAAAATTCAACAATTTACTGAAAAATGATCGAAGAACAAGACAAATAAATCGAGAATGGATCACAGACAAATGGGGAAACAAAATCGAAACGTTATTTGTGCACATCTTATTTTTTCGATGTAGATGCGCGTCCTTGTGCACTGTTCGCTTTGTTCTTGACGAGTTCCTCATTCTTATCGTTGATCACTTTCGACACCTCAGCCACCGTTTTGTCTTGTGATTGTAGATTGGCCTTCTTGGGCGCGATGTACAATTTGTGTCCTCTTTTCGGTCCTTTTGTCTTCTCTTTTTTCACTTTATCTTTGACTCCTTTCGGCAATGAGACCTTCTTTTTCATTTTTCCTTGCACCATTTTCGCTGAAACTGAAAATTTGTTGAAAGGAATGAAAAATGTTTGTAAAAATGAAAAATTTTCAATTGAATTTTCAATTTCAATTCAATTCAGCCAGGAGAAGAGAAATGGCCGGGAAATATTAGCGTTGTTTGTATGTAGGCGTAGACTTTAAAATGTTTGTGAGCAAAGAAAAATGGCAAAAAGCAATGAAAAGAGGGCATAAACGGGGAAAAGTTACCTAATGTTGTCAAATGTTAAAAAATACACAAACTTTGTTACAACTAATGAAAACTATGTGCGCTCTTTGTAGCGATGTGAGATACCACAATCAAATTGATTACCTACCGTAAATACTGTAATAGTACCCCACCCCCCTCGTACACTCGCGTAGTCGCAAAAGTTTTTTAGTATTTCATTTTTTCCAAAGCGCGCGTACTTTCAAAAAATGCGTCTTTGGTATCAAAAAATAGCTGAAGTTCAGGGCTATTTTTTGATACCTAAGCGCGCATTGTAGCATAAACCAGTGTCGAGAAAGACTCGTTCAATGCTAGACTACGCAACACTCCGCACCGTCATTATGGGGGTGGGGTACTATTACAGTATTTACGGTAGGTAGAGTCATTTCTTGGGTTAACAGCGAGTTGGAATTATTTTATTGGACGCATTCAAAAGTTACTTCAAAGTTTAGAACTTTAAAAATTACAGGGCTGGTATTAAATGGCAATTTACCCGGGTAAATTTACTTTACTAGGGTGATTTAAAATTACTCCAGGGTAAATGATTTTTACCCTGGGTTAAATTTAATTTACCCTGAAGTAGAACAAGGGTGAGTAAATTGCCATTTGGTACCAGCCCAGTAGGTATGATACATAGTCAGACGACTTGTTAATTTGTATAATTACAATGAGATGTAAATCGGGAAATGTTTTAAACAATCTACCGCAACCCCGTTTTAATTTCCCTGGGTTATCTACATGAGAGTTTTTTGTTTTATCCAGTAGCATTTCATCAAGTGTAACTATTAAAATAACAATATGCAGGAGATCTTCAAAGTTAGTTCTCATTCGTCAAATCGATTAGCGCATAAGTGCCCGGTTTAACACCACCGGCCAAAACAAAGCTCTTCCGATTCCAAAATTTTAGCATTGCAGGCAAAGAGTGAAGAGATGCGGAGAGAAAAGGGAAGGGAAAAGATGTGAAAGATGGGGAAAGGGAAGGGGTGAGGGGAGGTGGGGACAGCCCGCTGAGGCCCTCTCCAGTCTCCTCTCTTCCTTTTCACCTCTTTTTCTCACATGAAGCCCGCCCCGTTTCGATCGTTTCTCCTCATTTCACATAAGTTTATCCATGGCCACACTCTCATCATTTAAGCTATTTTAAATAATTTCATAAATCTCGAAGAATTTCCAATATTTACGATCTCTTGCAGGCAAATGGCTCTAACTGCCTCGCGAAGCACAGAACCGACCGGGACGAGCAATGTGAGAGCTGATGGAATTCTCAATGGATTTAAATTGTAAATTAAGAATTAAAGGAAAGTATTGGAAAATGCTGTAAATTCAGAAATTGGATGAACCTTCGGGATGCTGAGAGTGGGAAAATCCTTTGGCAAAGCACCGAAGACATGGCTGATCCGACACGAGAACATGAAGGTACGTTTAAGGCTTATATTTCAAGTACGTGACTACGCGCAGTATCCATTTAGCCATAGATAATCTATATATTAGGCACATAAAAGCTCAGACAAGGCCAAGCTCTTTGAAAAATGTTCCAGGGTGCTTGAACTTGCGACCTTTTTCCGAGAAAATCCTGGGTTGACGCTTTGAAGCGTGGTAAAACTACCGTACCCCTAACTTGCAGGTATAAAACAAAGTGCTCAATTTCATCCTTATTCTTCATTTCATTCTTTTTGCTTAGCGAAAAGCTTTGCTCGGAAAAAGGTCGCAAGTATGAAATGAAGAACAAGAACGAAATTGCGCGCTTTCTTTTATACCTGCAAATTAGGGGTACGGTAGTTTTACCACGCTTTAAAGCGTCAACCCAGGATTTTTTCACAACTTTTTTAAAATTTAGCTCATGTTCCAAAAAGCATTCTCAAATGTCGCACTGTTTCACGGGAGATCAACTTCACATCAGTTGAAAAAATCGACAAATTTCGCCTCGAGCAACGAGTATTTTTGAAAGGAAACATTATTGAAGGTTTCTTTATTTTCAATTTGTTTAATTTTAAATATTTTAAACCTACAATTTCCATCTAATCCATGCATTTCCATTTCTTCGAATCTCTGTCAACAATTTGTGTCAATATGCAGTCATGGTAACGTGACAGAAAAAGGGATTTTAAAAGACCGGGGGGTAAAGGGGATGATTGCGTGTCATCACAAATGAGACATCTTTAAGGTAAATGTGAGGAGATGTGGCTAAGCATAAATACGTACATTGATTACCGTAGCTACCTTTCGAAATCATTCCCCAGCTTTAAATGCCGAAATTTAAGAAAAATTATGATACCTTTTTCCAGAGCGCATCAGAATTAGAAATCGAATTTTCAGAATGGTTTTTCGAGTTCGGTTTTGTGATCCCGCAATCGACGAATACCTGGCAAAATCTGATCGAGGCTGCTCCTGAAGCTCAAATGTTACCAGCATCACTTCTTAGGTTTATAAAAAATTCTAAAAAAAACATGGCTTTATAAAATCAATGATTTCATAAAGCCAACCGTCGAAAAACTAACTTTCAACTTAATCTTGAAAATTTCAGCGGAAATGTCGTGATCGAGACCTCGTTTTTCGACGATACTCTCCTTGTCAGCACATCAACCGTTCGCCTATTCTATGACTGAGAAATTCGAAATTTTCCTTTAAACTCAACGAACTCATATCTTTTCCTTTTGTCACTATTTATGTACATGATCTCAATAAATTTATTGGTACAAATAAATTTACACGTTGAACAAATTTTGATTGAAGAAAGGGTGGATCACAGTTACGAGCTCGTAAGGCAAATGGCACATAAAATGGGGAAAAATGGAAACATTTGCTGTCTGACACAATGAATTTTCACTTGAAAAGTTTAAAATAAAAAATGAAATGCATAAAAAAAGACCCGAAAGATTTCTTTTCCCAAAAAAAGCAGGAACAAGTAAGTGAAGGTATAGGAGAAAAGATGAATGAAAGATTGGAGAAAGACAAAAAAAAAGAAATATTGGTAAGTAGAAATCACCCTTAAAAGAGCTTCTAATCGTAAGTAGTGGAAAAATTTGTAGCAAATTCTCTCATTTCCTCGTATATTCAGCACATCCCTCAGGTGCTGGTTGAAGTTTTTTGCATAAATTATCAGTGAGATCATACAAAGCGTCGGCCACCCGTTCACCATCGATCACAATCCACGGGACAAAGGTGAGAGGAGGGCGAAGGGCCACTGTCCGAGCACCAGCTAGGGCCAATAAACGACGACCTTTTGAACCCGATGCACACTCTTTCATTCTACAAATTGTGAATTGTGGAGCATATAAAGAATAGGGGTTCCTCAAAAATCGAACTAGATTCACCCTAGCTGGTCTAGCTCAGTTTTCTGGACTCTAGCCAGACTTCTGGACTCTAGCCAGACTTCTGTACTCTAGCCAAACTTCTGGACTCTAGCCAGACTTCTGTACTCTAGCCAAACTTCTGGACTCTAGCCAGAACTTCTGGACTCTAGCCAGACTTCTGTACTCTAGCCAGACTTCTGTACTTGCTTAGTCTATCGTATTTATTTCCGAGTAGAGTCTCCTTTAGACGAAATCTTTCATTTTTTCTCGGATTTGTCAACTCTCGAATAGCAAAATGTGCAACTTTTTAAAGTCTGGTCAGCTTTGGGTGGAGAAGTGAAAATAGAAAAAGTACCAGAAGTCAGAGCTGGGCCAAGTTTCTGACTACTTTTCATTAACACTTACAACTTTTGATCAAGTCCCTCTTTTTCGGTCAAACATTTATCAGTGGCTGACTCAAGATTTCTCTCTCCTTGAATACAATTGACAATTGGGATGAATCTAAAATGTTTTCTATCAATTTTTCCTTTTTTTTTTGCGACTCACTTCTCCGGATAAACGGTCTTTTCGATTACACAGTTCATCAATTGATTCAAAATGCACTCATTTGACCCATGTTGACATTGACATCTGAGAATTTGATAATAGAAAATAGTTTTTACAAATATTCTTGGATTTCTTGACTCACTCGAAATCTCCTCCCTTCTCTGTGCATCGTGCTTTTCCAAAGGGGATAATTGTCCATTCAACGCGTCCACTTGTGCCCAATTTCTCCCAAGCTTTCATCAATTGTTTGTGAACAAATCTAAAATGTTTTCCATTTTTTTGGTTTTTCTTCAAAATCTTATTTTGCACCTTGATGTATCTGGACATTGTGCCTCCATATAAACATCCAATTTCACTGTATTCCCAATGGGATTTTTCGCGGCTAGTGACAAATTTGGCCGGCCCACATTGTTGAGTACCTAGAATTTGATGTAAAATTTGTAATTTGCATAATTTTCGATTAATTTTCCACCACCTTTACTATTTGATCAGTTTGAAATTGAAATAACCCAAATTCAAAACCAAATTCATAACCGACTCAGTAAACTTTGAAAGTTTCGCCGATAACCCGAAAAATCCTCCAACACCCCAAAAAGTTTCCCTTGTTTTTTCTCTTGAATGAACCGATTTTGTTTGTAGATTTGATGAACAGAGAATTGGAAGTAGAATACATCCAAAATCAATAAAAGATGATGATGGTGGTGGAGGATGATCACCCACCAATTGCGAAGAACAAATCCCAACAAATCCCATCAATAACAATGCGAAGAAAAGGGTTAATCGATCCATTATGCACGGCAAAGTTCTATAGAATATAGAATATAGAATATAGAATATAAAGTATAGATCTTTGTTTTATTTTCTACAGATCTATCTAACAATCAGATCTAACAATCAGATCAACCAAATAGGAACATATCTATCTAACAAACAAAGGAGAAAAAGGACAATCGCTCTATCTGTGGATCTGTAGAATATAGTTTAAAGATTTGTAGATCTATAGATCTGTAGATCTGTAGATCTGTAGATCTGTAGAACTGTAGATCTGTAGATCTGTAGATCGTAGCTTGGAGTCTGTAGCAGTCTGTGCGGCGTGGGTCGTGTCTGAGATCTGTAGTCGGTCTGGATCGTGCGGTCGTGATGGACGTGATCTTAGATCTGTAGAATATAGATTAAAGAAATTCTATATTGAAAATAAAAGAAAAGAAAAGAAAAAGAAATCAAAAAGATAAAAAGCTTTAATGCTTTGAACTTTTTCTCTTCACAAACATACGCTTTCTAGTACACAAAATACGCTTTCTAGTACACAAAGTACTAGTACAAACACTTAAGTCTTTCGAATGAGTCAAATATGCCAGGAAGCAGGTGTTTGTGAGAGCGCAAAGTACTAGAGAAGGAAAATCGTATTGTTGAAAGTATGAAAAATGTATGTAAGCATCTAATTTGCATTCATATCTATACTTATTATATCAAAAATCAATTCGATTGAAAGTAGTTATCTCAAACATGTGATCTCCTCTTTTCAATCACCAAAAACAACCCCGTATTGACAGATAGTTTAGCAAAAAGAAAACAAAATTGATAAATCTTATCTGCCAATATCTAGATATCAAGAAAACTATATTTTTCTTTATTTGCTAAATCTCTTTATTTACATAACCACTCCCAATCCAAGCTTAGTCATTAGACTGACGTTTAACCAAGCCATGACTAATTATTTACACTAAATTTAAAAAAAATACATTTATTGAAGGCCAATATGTAACAAACAAAGGTACATAAAAGCATAACGGTCTAAATACTGGGCCACCCCTATTCCCTATTACCCAAATGTTGTGAAAGAAACCCCTTGGTGGGAAACATTTTTTCGCCGCGCCCTCGACCTTCCTTAAAGCAAGCAACCGTCGGCCATCGGATTTTCGAACCACTTACAAACTTATTTAATCAACATTTAACTATGGAGAATCGTAATTGTTGAAATCTTCAGCTCATCACAGCTTTGTGGCTGAATCTTTTTCACCCTTATAGTTTCTTCATTTTTCATTGTGAAAAAGTTATTCAATTAAAGCGGTAGCGACGGGCGGTGCGTACAAATCGCAGGGACGTATTAAGAGCGAGATGATGACTCACACTTACTAGGAATTCCTCGTTCAAGGGAAATAGTTGCAATTCCCTATCCCGATCACGGAATCTTTTCAACGATTTGCCAGTGACCCTTCGGCCATGGAACACGTTGCAGACTCCAGTGTAGCACGCGTGTAGCACGCGTCTCCAATGTAGCAAAGTACAAAAGTCCTGTCTTTTCTGTGTACTTCGAGATTTCGCTGAACTTTTTCGGTCGATTTGTCGAATTTTTAACCCCTAATCGTGTCATAGAAGAAACGGGTTAAAAATTGGGGAAAAAAGAATGGGGAAAGTGGAATGAAAGTAAAAGTGATATGATTGAAAAGAAAAATGAGAAGTTTTCACATTTGGAAAAGAAGGGGATAATCTGTGGGATGAAAAAGAAGGGGAGATCGAGATGGAGAAGGCGATTTTCACAGGAAATTGATTAATATTGGGAAATTCGAATCAAATATTGTGGAAATGTCATTTTTCGATCACTTTTGTCGATATGACCAGAAAAATCAATTCGCAAATGTCTGGGGGAATTTTGGAATGGGCGTCAAAAAGGCAACAATTTGCTTGCAGAACGCGAATAAGAACTTGAAAAACTATAAAAGTATTCTATAAAAGTAGATAGAATAAAACAAAAACTTTTAGAATTAGATATCAAAAAATTTACAAATCCTCAATAGAAATATAAAATGAGCTCGTCAAGTTTAGACAAATATTGCATTTGTTCTTTTTCGATTCATTCAAGAAAATCCCTTTCCTTCTTTTCTCATCTCATTAAAGAAGTAAGCAAACAAATTTATCGAAAATCATTGTCTTTTAATTGTCAAATTGAAAGACAATGTCGATGTCGATGTTTAAAAAACCCTCCATTGTTAATATATAACTTTTTCTCAGAGGTTTTGATTTTCCTATTGTTTTTTCTTCATTCTCCTATAGTTCTTCATTCTTAAAGCTCACCAATTCTCCTCGATATCCCATTCGAAAGAGATCCGCCTCTGTGTATTCGTTTTTTCTTTAAAAAGTACTAATTTTTCACGGAAATTTCTACTCACTTTGTCAACCATCGATAGGCCAAAAATATGAGAATGAGCCCGATCATTCCATACAACCATTTCCTCAGCCCTGCCCTCGCCAGTTGACGCTTCATTGCGCCTAAAATGGTTTTGTTTTTTTTTTAATAAATAGATAGAAACAATCGATATTCATTTCTAATAAATCAAAATCAATTTTTCTCTTTACTTATTAGTGGCTCTTCTTCTTTATCTTTCACTCCCATAGCGGCTCAATAGCGGAGGATCGGAGTTGGAGTTTACGTCAATAGTTGGAGTTTACGATGAGATCAAGCAATTCTGAAAGATAGGGAATTTATATAAGATTCAAGATTGAATATAATGTAGATATGGGTAAAAAAGTAAACAAGATTTGCTTAAAAGTAGGATTTGTAGGATTTGTTTAAAAATAAGGGCAATCAAAAATGTGAGCAATCCAAAATGGTGTGCAATGATGTGGTCCTTGGTCACAAAAGCTCTCCTTTTCCCTTTCTGCCCCATCTTTCTCCCTTCACAGATGTGTCAAAAGTGTCACCTGTTCCTTCCGCAATCCTTTTTCCTTATCCCCCATTTCCCTCATCATCTGTTCCATTTCCCCATCATATCTGTTCTTTTTCTTGTGTTCATTAACATCACATTAAACTTGTCAAAGACAAAAAGATTCATTGAAGATTCCAAATTCTCACTCTCAATCATAGAAAAAGAAAAAAAACTAGCCAAGAAAGGCCAAAGAAAGGCCAAAGAAAAAAAGAGCTGATTGAGATAAGATAAGTTTTAAAAAGAGAAACTCATAGCCAATTTGTATCTATCCATACAAATCGTTTTCGTGGCAAAATGAATGAGCAATGAATGAATGGCTTCATTGAACTGAATCTTTCTTTCTTTTCTTGAACCCCCACTGACTAAATAACAAGGATTTAAAACAAAATGAAAGCCTTTTATCCAAATTGTTTTTGAAATGTTCAAAATAAAAATAAATCTAAAACACTTCGAACAAAGATGAGTTAAAATTTCATAGTTCAGAAAATATCTAAAAATCTAAAAGACACAAGTGACCTAAAAAACGAAAGAATTAGTGGACATTGCCTTAAAAGGCAACCAGTGAGGGTAAAAAAGTGAGTGAAAAATCGATGCGTGCAAAAAAGGAAGAAAAAGAAACGGGCGACTTTTTCGAGTGCACACAAACACGCGCAGAAAAGATAAAATAAAGAAAAAGAGAAGAAAGGGGAGAGAAAAGGAAAAGAAAGAGAGAAGGGGAAGGGGATCACCCCTCTCGGAGTGAATTGGATATGAATGTGGAGGATGTGGCTGGGGAAAAGGATGTATACAGGCAAAAACAATGAGATTTCCATCACTCGGCAGGCAATGACCCTACTCCATTGTATTAGGTTGAGTTCTTTTCGTCATTGCTTTTCAATGTAAATGTCATTGTTTTTGTCCAGATACTCACATATTCCCTTAACAATACTCTTAACGTAACATACTCTTAATCGATTCCCCTTAATCGATTCCCCTTAATCGATTCCCCTTAATCGATTCCCCTTAATCGATTCCCCTTAATCGATTCCCCTTAATCGATTCCCCTTAATCGATTCCCCTTAATCGATTCCCCTTAATCGATTCCCCTTAATCGATTCCCCTTAATCGATTCCCCTTAATCGATTCCCCTTAATCGATTCCCCTTAATCGATTCCCCTTAATCGATTCCCCTTAATCGATTCCCCTTAATCGATTCCCCTTAATCGTAAAAAATTACTCATGCAAATTTACTCGAGTAATTACTTACTCACGAGGAACACACTCTACTCTTAATCGATTCCTCATCTTTTATCAATTTTTTTAATAGAAGAGATGAGTATAGACATTTCAAAATCAGTTAACAGTGGTATTTATTAGGTTGAGTACTAATTCTTGATAACACTTTTTGCTTTTTGTTTCATCAAAGAGCAAACTATAGCTTTTTTATAAACTTTTAACATAATAATCAGACATGCATTGCCTAGCTTTAGGCAAAGTTTCATCCCGATCTAATGGCTGGGCTTTAAGCAGGAGGCTTTTGTTTGAAACCAGTCGATTCTGTTCTAGACCACATCGCACAACAAGAGTTTTTGTTTTTGGAATTTCTCAAAGACAAACAAAAAAAAAGGGGGGAAAACGAAGGAAAATCGCGAAAAGCGGCGGAAAGGCTATTGATCTGAGTTGATCTTGATCGTATAAAATGATCTTGATCTATTAATCTTGATCGTATAAAATGTAAATTTTAGATTTTACAGTCATAAAGTGAAAATTTTTAGAGAAATTATTTTTGAGAATAAACTTTTCCTAAACCTTTTTCCAATGAAAATGCCAGAAATTAAAGAATTTCTCGCCTTTTTTTAAAAAAAAGAAACAATTTTCTCTTCAAAAAACAACATCTGAATGATTCGTAATTTGAATCGTGAAATATTTCCATTCTTTTTTTTTCTATGATTAACTATTTTTTTTTGTTTATTGTGGTTTCAAAATTCGATCTGAAAATGAAGGAAAAGGTGGAAATTTGATAATCACAAAGGAATTGATTGATTGAATGGGGGTGGGACATTTGCGCACCTTTTTTTTTGCTGGAAAAGGCCTTAGGAAAGGTCGTAGAGCTTCAAAAATGTTTTCACATTAGGGAATCGTATGCGTAGATTCCGAATTTCGACAAATCAGACCTCGCTGACACGTCAAATTTGGGCTAAAAGGCAAAAACTGCGGAAAAGTGTTATGTATAGCTGAAAGAATTGTAGATATGACTCTGGTACTGACCAGATACTTGAAAATTCTGTGCAATTTAATGGCTTACAGCCGATTTCGACAAATGAGTATCTTAAACCCTATTTGGGTAAATTTAAATATGTTGGATAGGACTAATGGCTGTTTAAAGCGATGAATCTCGCGTTTGGTATGGCAATTAAAATGTAACGAATTTTCAAACAAACACAAATTGTACCCAATTTTCCAAGAGATTTCAATGTATCTTATAACTCCTAACTTCAAAAAGTTTCAAAGTTCATCAAAATTCAATGATACTTTTAAGGAATTAATGACGCTCTCCAAAATAGAAGCCAAAAAGTCTATGAAGAAGAAGAATTTTCTGCCTAAGAAGATAATCCCATAGCTTACTTGCAATTGAGCTTATTTTATGGGAAAATGAAAATAGAATAGATCAAATGATAATTGAAATATTTCAAAATGGAAATGAGCAAAATTGATGAAGTGAAAAAGTGTACTGGAGCTATGTGTAGAAATGGACGCTGTGAAGCTATGTTTAGAAATCGTAGTACTATCTAGTGGTTTTTGCAATAAAATAAAAGTTTCATCTTGTTCAAGGACAATCATTTCTTGTTATTTCTTTTCTTTTTTCTCTTTTTTTTCTCAATCTTTCCAGTCAATCAATATTCCCTCACTGATTTTTCTCAGTTTCTCCTATCTTCAGCTTGTATTTTTAGCCGAAAAAAGCTTACACGAATGATAAAACGAAAATCTTGAGGGTTTCTTTGGGTTTTTGAAACTTTATTATACACGTATTTTGTAATATAACCAAATCTGATGGAAAGTTATTGTTTCTTGTGTGGTTTGCGGCTTTTTCCTTTTCCAAATGGTGGATTCTTGTCCAAATGCTCGTAGAAACAATCACTGAAAAAAAAAGAAATCAAGGGGAATATAATAAATATATGATTTTAGATCTAAACAAAAAGCATCTAGAAACTTAAATTTACCGAATAGCGTTGAAGGATTCGGTGCAGAAAGTGTACTCGAGATAATTTGTGGGAACACCCTTTTCGGCTTTACAATACTTCAAGCAATCTCCCTCGACACCTTTTGCCTGAATCATATTAATTAGAGCTTAGATATTAGATATTAGATATTAGAGCTTAGGTATTATAGCTTGGATACTAGAGCTTAGAGACTAGAGCTTAGATATTAGAGCTTAGATATTAGAGCTTAGATATTAGAGCTTGGATATTAGAGCTTAGATATTAGAGCTTAGATATTAGAGCTTGGATATTAGAGCTTAGATATTAGAGCTTAGATATTAGAGCTTAGATATTAGAGCTTGGATATTAGAGCTTGGATATTAGAGCTTAGATATTAGAGCTTAGATATTAGAGCTTAGATATTAGATATTAGATATTAGAGCCTAAATATTGAATACCTTTTATCGAATTTACACATCAAATTTTCTTTACCTCACAACACGCTGTGTGATCGTGTCTGTACGAGGCGCAATCCCACATTTTCCCCACAGTGCCCCCCTTTGTTTGGCACTGATCCATGAAGTTCAAGATCTATACAAATATTATGATATTTTTAGATATTTTTAGATATTTCTAAATCTATTTTTAAACCTATAAAAGCAAAAAAGCTAAACTTCTTTTTTTTTGACTCACATTAGCCTGATTGATGGCATTGAAATCGCAGAAATTCGTCACACACTCCTTGTCGACATCCTAAAAGAAGGGATTGGCTTATTTTTCAAACAAATATGATAATATTAAAAGATAATATTAGAATAAGCGTTTTCACCTTAAGCCCAGCACAGCATTTCTTCAGTTTCTCATTTGGAGTCAACTTTCCGGCAATGGTGAAACCGAGAAGACAAAGCACGGCCACAAGCCTCAACATTAACTGAAAATGAACGGAACTGAGATCACTGAGATAACTGAGAGTCTAAAGAATATAAAATAAAGTTTGCTGAATGTTTGCGAAAATCTAAAGAGATTCTCGAGCTTATATCGAGAAATTGCTGGGTGGGATTTGTTGGTGTCAGTTGAGGGGAATTTCACCCCTTTCCATCCTCCCATCCTCCCATTTCGTCTCCTTTTATCCCCTTTTATATCTTTTATAGCCTTGCCCTCGATTTGCGAGATTTATCTTTGTGATTGGGTCACCGATTTCGCTAGAAAAACTTTTTTTTTGCGCATTAAAGCGTTGAAAAGAATTTGAACTAAATGAAAGGATTAAGCAAAAGAATTCCATTTCAACAAGTTCAAATTGAAGTCCATCAGAAGAAGCATAACTTGTGCATTACATTGGTTACATTGGTTACATTGGTTACATTGGTTACATTGGTTACATTGGTTACATTGGTTACATTCGTTACATTGGTTACATTGGTTACATTCGTTACATTCGTTACATTGGTTACATTGGTTACATTCGTTACATTCGTTACATTCATTATCCCTTCTATTACATGATCTAACCTATGCAAATTACTCCAAAATTATAAAGTTCAATCGCAAGCTAACCTGATTTACACAAATTACACATTTTCCCTAACTCAACGTAATTGACTGTAGAAAAATTCTAAAAAAGATTTCTTTTAATCTAATAATTTGTGTTAATACTTTTTTTGGTGATTCAGCTGTTTTTCTCGGATTCTTCAATGTCATTCAGAAAAATTTGCACCAATCAAACCGGTGATTGACCCGGATAAAGAAAAAGAAATGAATGAGAGACAAAAAGAAAAGGACAGGAATCAGATCAAAATAAAATCAAATCTAGGTCACTCTCACTTTCAAAAATGAGAAATATCTACAGAAAGCTCAAAAAAGAAATTTTCAACGACACCAGATGAATTTCAGAAATTTCACGATTCACGGAGAGGTATCGAAATTTGAAAAAAAAATTTGTTGAACAAAATGAAATGAACGTTTAGTATTACTCAGTTATATCCTTTGTTCATACAAAGTGTTGTCTTTCAGTTGTCCACCAGGGTTGGGGATTGAAAAATTCGGAATCGCATTCCGGATTGCGCATTTAAATGCGAATTCAATCAAATGTTCAATCATCCCAAATTTAATCCTGATTACGGCACTGAACCTAACAATTCTCTTTGCAAAGCGACCCTTTTTAACCAAAGTGATAGCGGGATCAATCACTTTTTTGGATAGTAAATCAATAAAACGAGATAATAAAAGGGTAATACTCCTCTCGACCGAGATAAGGTGAAGTTTTGAGGCCAAGGCTATTCCTAGGGCCGATTCTCCAGGCCAAGGCCAAGCCAAGACCATTGGCCTTGACTTGGCTTGGCTTTGGCTTTCTGCCTTTTTGGAAAAGCCATGTTTGGGGCTTCACGGGCCGGCTATTTACTGGGAACACCTCAGATAGTATTACAATACAAGCTGTTACTCTCTAGTAGACCTGGCAAAAGCAACCTGCGGTACGTCCGCTTTGCCACCTGTTACCACCCCCTCCCCCACGACGCCTGCTAACCTCCTGATATAGTGGATAAGAATTTGGTAGAATGATAAGAGAGAAGAAAATGATGGAAACTCTTTCAAAAAATGCAAAAAAATAGGCCCCGAGCGGAATCGAACCTATCCCCGGCGGCTTAGACTACTTTGCCACCACGACAGAGCATTTTCTCAGGGTCGAGCTCAGTTTTTTGCTTTTTAAAATTCAAAAACTGAAATTCAATTTTAATCTAGAGACTCTAGGCTTTCTTTTGAGCCAAAAAAACATTTCTTGATCTCATCTCATCTCTGAGATCTCGAAACAAAAACTCTCCGTCACAATCTGCATTTTTAAGAAAAACTTTTGAATAGATCAAAAAAACAAATGGGTCATGGTTAAAGATAATAAAAAGTTGGCTATTTGATCAGCAATTCGATCCGGAAAAAACAATGGCTCGATAGAATTGACTTAATTTAGCTGTTTGTGTTTTAATTTGTTTCAAAAATGGCAATCAGATGAATCTTCTGATCTCCTGTTGACTAAATATTTTATTTGTAGATGTTTTGCTTAGCCGATCTTCATTTCAAAGCACAGTTTGTCAACAACAAAAACCTAAAAATCCATGCCATAGCGGACAATGGGATTTTCAAACAGGATTTGAACATGAAAGAGGGAAGATCGTTGTGAATGAATGAATGAACGAAGGAATGAAGGAATGAATGAATGAATGAATGATTGGATGATGGATGGATGAATGAATGAATGAAAAAGAATCCCTTCAATGAGGTAAATCATTTCAATCATTTCAATCTTTTCTCACTATTCTATCCAAAATCATGCTTATTTTCCTAACAATTTCTTTCTTTTTCCTTCTTCAATTTGTTCATTGCACTCCAAACGACAAACTCCGTGAATGTTGTGAGACTTTACCGGGAATCGACCAAGAGTGTGCACAAAAATTTTGCGATTTCCACAACATTAACAGTTTGATGGTGAGAGAAATGGGGGATTTTGGGGGGTGGGACAAATGCTACCTCTTTGCTACCTCGTTTGACTGAATATCTTATTTGGAGAAGTTTTATGGAGAAAACGAAAACTGAATAGCTCACAATTTCGCATCAAAATTTTAGGTGGGACAAATGCGACCTTTTTTTTTTGCTGGAAAAGGCCTTAGGAAAAGTCGTAGAGCTTCAAAAATGTTTTCATAGAAGGGAATCGTATGCGTAGATTCCGAATTTCGACAAATCAGACCTCGCTGACACGTCAAATTTGGGCTAAAAGGCAAAAGCTACGCAACTTAACGCTTTTCCGCAGTATGGAAATATTTTCGAAGCTCTACGGCCTTGTCTAAGGCCTTTTCCAGCAAAAAAAAAGGTGCGCAAATGTCCAGGTGCGCAAAAAAAAGGTCGCATTTGTTCCACCCCCGGATTTTGTGCTTTTTAAAGACTTTTGTTCTTTTAAATCGCTAAATTCAGAAAAATTCTATGAACTAACTGCTCTATTGGGGGTTTTTTCTAGACTAGAATTATTGGGGTTTTTCAAAAAACGCTTGCTAGCTGAATAGGTGAATATTTTAGAATTTAATTTTAATCTCAAAATCTTTAGTTGAAACTTTCGATATCCTTTCTTTTTTTTTTAAAAATTTCAGGTTGTCCCATTCATTTCGATGTGCGGACCGAGGGGTGACACGGGAAAACAAGTGTGGAAGTGTCTCTCATCGAAACACGATCACACACAATGTTGTCGAAATCAGGTTTGAGGGAAAGATCTATAGAAATCTATAGAAAATCGATTCTAGACATAAAATTTAGCCAACAATAAAGCTATACTTTGAATTCTTTTAAACACCCACTTTCTAGCACATTGTTTTAGAAAAAAAGAAAAAGAAATGCGTTAAAAAGAGAGCTTCCAAAGTGAGAAGGAGAGCTTTCAAAGTGCAAAGTACAAAGTGCAAAGTACAAAGTACAAAGTTGACTAATCAAAAGCTTTACAAGATTGACTTGAAATTCTTTTCGAGACAATTTTCCTTTTCAAATTTTCAGGGTGTTCTCCCGTTTTGTCTTCCATTTTGCAAAGCGGATACCACTGTGCCAAATGATCTTCCAAAATACGGGATTTGCATTCAAGAATTCGAGAAATATCGTAAATGTTTCCGCACTTATATCCAACACAATGGAGCATATCATGAGAATTATTTGGATGGAGACGAAGAATAGGACTGATTATGCAAATAAAAAAAGTTTCTTTAAAGAAACTATCATGTGAATGATTCGGTGTGCAATAAAACATTTCTTTTCTTGGATTTGCTCGTTCTTTATGGCTTTTTGTCTTACTGATTACGTTTATTCGATCAATGTTTAAAGAAAGTTTACACAACTCTTGTCTCTTTTCTTATAAATTGATGTTGATTAATTGATTGATCGATTTCCAATGATTTAAATTGGATGATTGAGAAGGAATTGTTGAATTGCGTAATACATTTGAGGAGCTCTCCATTGAGGAGCCATATGGCCAGCTCTACGAACTGAAAAAACAAATAAGGACACGATTTAAATACAAGAGCTTTAGAAATCAAATTTCTGAAAATATGGCATAAAATCCTTCACTAGTTTCGATGAGAATTAATATTCGGTGTACAATAAAACATTTCTTCTCTTGGATTTGCTCGTTCTTTATGACTTTCTGGTTTACTGCTTACGTTTATTCGATGTTTAAAGAAAATTTACACAACTCTTGTCTCTTTTATTATAAATTGATTTATGTTGATTGATTGATTGATTGATCGATTTGAAATGTTTTAAATTGGATGATTGAGAAGGAATTGTTGAATTGCGTAATACATTTGAGGAGCTCTCCATTGAGGAGCCATATGGCCAGCTCCACGAACTGAAAAAACAAACAAATAAGGACACGATTTAAATACGAAGCTTTAGAAAAGCTTTAGAAATCAAATTTCTGAAAACACTGCCGAAAATACTATACTAATTTCTCCATAAATGTGAAACTTTTTTTCCAAACAAACCCGTCAAGAAAGTGAGCCCATTAAAAAGCGATTTAAAGCCGGCGATTTGACGATCGAATTTCCACGGAGTTTTCCCCAAAGTTCTCTATATTTTTAACGTATTTCTTTTTATTTCTTTTTATTTCTTTTTTTCTTAATAAACCTTTAAACCCAATCCGTAGACAAATTGTTGTCCCATCATGAAATTGCACGCCATATCGGTATCTCCGTAATAGAGAAGAACGCGCACATTGGCGTCAATCACCTGGAAATTCATCGTTACAAAGCCAAACGCCAATTCGATCTCATTTTGGGTTTTTTTTTTTTGATTAAACGATAAACCTTTTTGATGAATGGAGTCATATCGGTGTACTGTTTCTGATAGATCTTTGTCACTTGATCGCTAAAATTTCCCTTTTTCCACAAAGTTTTCAGCCAACCTCACCTGCAAATGTCCCATTTTGGGAGATTGAAGGGCACATTAAGGGCACGACGAACCTGGAAATATTACATAATTTATATGTTAGATATATTTTGATAACCTTTGGATCATTCATGTAGCTGATCACATCCGAATCGTTTAAACAAGGCGCGTCACCGTAAAGGAAATTCTGACTCTAGAATCGAACAAAGTACAAAGCGGAAAACTCGATTTTTCGATGAAAACTCGATTTTTCGACTGTAACTCAACGCCCAATTACCCGATTCCTCTAATTTCAGATCTCTATATGAAATTCCAAGTTCATTCCTCCGATCACTTGCAATTTTTAGTTCAGAAACACAGTGCTACGTTCTTTATAGTGACACGAAGTTTAGAAGATCTCTTCGAATCGAATCGTCGATTTCGTCGTCCTAGAATCGTCGTTTTCAAGAAAGTACCACTGTAGTTGGAACGAGGGCAGATCAAAAATATGGGCGTCGCTGGGACTCAAACCCAGCGACCTTTCGCTTACCAGGCCACGGTGCTAACAATTAGACCACAACACACTCGCTCTCCTTACTTGAGAGGGGGTTAACTTTCCTCCTCTTTGGACGAGACGGTTCCGAGTTTCTAGGCACGCTCGGAACTTACTAATTTACTTACTTACTTACTAAATTTTTACTTATTAAACTTCCTAAAAACTTACTGAAGTTTTCTCATTAGAGATACGTGAAAGTACTCGGTGTACAGATTTCGAAAGTTCACGTGAAAACAATAAGCCAAAATATCGTAGTCCTTATCATCCACTTGGAACTAGGGCAGCTCAAAAACCCGTGCGCCGCTGGGACTCGAACCCAGCGACCTAGCGCTTACCAGGCAACACCAGGCAACCGTGCTAACCATCACACCATATAAAAATAAGGGAATCGGATAATTGTGCGCAAAGTTACCGTCGAAAACCGATATTGTATTAGGTAGCTAGCTGTTCAAAAGTTTTATATAGTATATGCAAACCCGGATAAAATCAGTGACACTCATATTTTTCTTCTCATTTCTTTCGAGAAGCGCTTTCTCCAATCCCGGTGCAACACCCCTCAACATTGCCTCCATTCGAACGCTGTTTGCATCAGGATTCGGGTCACAGTCTCTACAAAAAGTTGCATTAAAGTTTAAGATCTAGATTTTCTGAGTACCTGTAAAGATCATAGGGATTCAGTCCGCCGAACCAGAGAAATTGGAAGATATCCTCAACCATTGTTGCACAATGACCTTCCATCTGTTAAATTGAAGATTACACTTTAAAAGTTATGAAAAAATATCCAGGGTAGCAAGTCGAAGACTTCGGACCAGGAACAATCAAGCTAGGAAACACTGGATGACAATAGCAAGGGATAAAGAAATGTGCAAGCTGGTTGTGATCTGCGCAAATAGGAACACCTGAGTGCGAAAACAGATCAAAAAAAAAATATACAGGGTGTCTCATAAAAAAAACAGCGTTTTCGAATCGAATTCCCTGAAAAGTTCTAGTGGCTGCAGGTGTCAAAAAATGTTTATTTTTGCTCAGGAATTTTTCACGTTTTTCCATATCTTGATACCTTGTACATGAAGATTATGAGTGCCACCATGGCTCTCACCACCACACCACCACAGCAGCCATCACCATTACCATCATCACCAGCCACGCCACCACAAACATTTTACTATTTTACTGAGAATTTGCCTGTATCCAGGGTGTGAAAATATTGAACTTTAAAGAAGATATTTTTGTTTAGAAAAAGTACAACACTTCTCTTCTTTTGCATTCCAAAAGCCATCAATATGATCTATTTAAATGTCTTATTCTCCAAATAAAAAAAACGACTTTTTGTCGTTTGATTGAAATTAGAATTTCGACCCATATTTCTAAAAATGAAGAAATGGTCTACTGATGACAAGCTTTGGTTCAGGTTTGGTTCAGGTTTGGTTCAGGATTCCGGCTTTACGCCTGTTCAGGTTAAACGCTACAACACGTTTGGTTCAGGATTCCGGCTTTACGCCTGTTCAGGTTAAACGCTACAACAGGTTTGGTTCAGGATTCCGACTTTACGCCTGTTCAGGTTAAACGCTACAACAGGTTTGGTTCAGGATTCCGGCTTTACGCCTGTTCAGGTTCAACGCTACAAAAAGTATAATACATGGTAAAAACAAAAATTTGTTAAGCTGGGCTATTGAACATGGGTATGATGCAGGAGCTGAGATTTGCAGAATTTTTAACATCGATTTCTCAAAGGTGAGGATGCTCATCGTAAAGAATTAATAGCTACCACATTGCAATAATTAGTGTTTCCGGTTTAGGTCTATAATAAAAACAATTTTCACACTACAGACAAATTCTCATTAAAATACAAGTGCTTGTAGTGGCGGTGGCTGGTGTGGTGGTGGGAGCTGTTGAAAACGTTTTTTTATGAGACACCCTGTATTTATTTAATAATCTGGTACAAAGAAGCGCAATCCTTAAGCTCTAAATGTAGAGAAGCAAAAAAAAACCGCTGGCAAAAAAAGGAACCAAGAATCTGGCGCACAGGCTGGAACCCTTGACCTTCCGACCATGACAGGCCTCTTCTCCAGTCGGCCATAGCGGCCAGCAGAATGGGTTTTGATTCGCTGTTTATTAGATACCTCAGTGAGATCACATCCATCAATGCATCCCTTGCAACACTCTCTTTCCAATGTGTCCCAAACTTTCTGATCGATTAAACCTGAAAGTTCAATTCAATTCAATTCAATTGGCTTCTCGAAATTCCCCTCACCATGTCCATAAGCGAATCTCACCGATGTGTCAATGTTGAGCTTCTCATGGACATACCCATTTCCCAAAGCCATTCCCTAAATATATTGTCATATTTTATTATTCCTAGTCACCTTTAGATTAATCGGGAAATCCTTCAATCCATCAACGATTCGAGCGGTTAACGTCGGCACATAGACCTAGAAAATTTTTGTTATTTTTGTTATTCGATCACGGTACCCCACATCGATAATTTGATGCATAGTGTTAGCATAGTCTAGCTTGTGTAGTCTAGCTTTGTGTAGTCTAGCTTGTGTAGTCTAGCTTTGTGTAGTCTAGCTTGTGTAGTCTAGCTTGTGTAGTCTAGCTTTGTGTAGTCTAGCTTGTGTAGTCTAGCTTGTGAGTCTAGATTTGTGTAGTCTAGCTTGTGTGGTCTAGCTTGTGAGTCTAGCTTTGTGTAGTCTAGCTTGTGTAGTCTAGCTTGTGTAGTCTAGCTTGTGTAGTCTAGCTTTGTGTAGTCTAGCTTGTGTAGTCTAGCTTTGTGTAGTCTAGCTTTGTGTAGTCTAGCTTTGTGTTGTCTAGCTTTGAACGCGTTTCTCTCGACACTGCTTTAAGCTACAATATGCGCCAGGGTATCAAAAAATAGCTGAAATTCAGCGTTATCTTTTTGATATGAAAAGCGCATTGATATCAAAGACGCTTTAAAAAAAAAACGAAATTACTAAAAAAACTTTTGCGACACGACTGCGAGTATTTACGAGTATTTACGACTGCGACTGCGAGTATTTACGGTAAATGTCTAAATACTGACGATTGTCTATTATTATATAAATATGGTAAATCTCAAAACAAACTCCTCCATACGATTCACCCATAATGAAAGTCGGTTGATTGCGGAATTGGGGGAAAGTCTTGAAGAAAGTCTTGACCGCCTCATAGTTCTCAGCTGAGGTCTACAAATTTTAGATATTTATCTAAAAGATTAAGTTTTTCTTGAAATATGAAAAAATAAATCTCTTAATATGTTGATATGTTTGAAATCCTTTTACTTGATCATCATTTGTGCTAATATTTCCATTGTTCGAATAGGAATAGCCAACACCAGCCGGCGACTCGATGTAGACAACGGAAGCGAGCTAAACGGGAATTGCAATCAATTTAGATTTTCGAGTACAGTCATGGACAAAAGTCTTTTAACGTTGGTTTTTAGAAGTTTGTTCTTTGTATATGTTGTGTTCGATTTAGATTGAACTTATCGCGGACGTCCAATTTAGATTACAGTCTATATCGGACGTCCGATTTAGATTCAATCTAAATCTTATATAGATTGAACAATAATACGTCTTATATAGATTGAAAAATAATATAAAAATGCTTAATATATGTTCTTAAGCGTTTTCTGTAGTTTTTTTTGCATTTTTCAAAGGTCTTTTATTGATTACAGTCTATAGTTGGGGTTTTCTTTTCAGAAAAAGACAGTAACAGACCTTTGAAAAATGCAGAAAACTAAAAAGATGGATTTGAGAATTTATCAGGTGTCATGAACTTTTTAATAAAACAAAAATTGAGCCAAAAATTGATGGACAAAAGGACAAAAGTAACATGTGAGCAAAACATTATGAAAATCAATACTTAGTAGGTCCTCCGCGAGCCGCAATTACTGCTTGAATTCTCCTTGGCATGCTGTCAACCAGATCACGTAGAATTTGGGGTCCAATAGTTGTCCAGACTCGACGGATGAAATACCAAAGCTCCACTTTTGATCCGAATAGTCTCCCCTTCAATCTCGACTTCACAAGCGCCCGTAAGTTCTCGATCACATTCAAATCAGGACTATAGGGAGGAGCAGACACAAGTTGAACACGGTTTATTGTTTTATTAAAAAAGACAACTATTGGACCCCAAATTCTACGTGATCTGGTTGACAGCCAAGGAAAATTCAAGCAGTAATTGCGGCTCGCGGAGGACCTACTAAGTATTGATTTTCATAATGTTTTGCTCACATGTTAAAAGACTTTTGTCCATCAATTTTTGGCTCAATTTTTGTTTTATTAAAAAGTTCATGACAACTGATAAATTGTCAAATCCATCTTTTTGTAATGTTAAAATTAGAGATAATAAGCTCTTTAAATCTTTTAACCGTTTGCAAATTGCTCGGATTTGGACCAAGATATACAAAGAACAAACTTCTAAAAACCAACGTTAAAAGACTTTTGTCCATGACTGGTCTTTATTCTAGATCTAAAAGTTTTTTTTTTCTTTTGCTTAAGAAATTCTACGTAAAACAATGCCCACCTTATTCCAAGAGTACTCATTTTTTCTCAACGTTTTCCCATCCAAATTCGCCACATATGGGCCCATCTCATTGAGAAGACCTATTTCATTCATAATTTTACTTTATAATATAATATAGTACTTAGTTGATTATTGCTTATGTTTGGTTCTTTTAAAAACTACCATCAAGAGACGAGCATCCAGGTCCTCCATTGAACCAAAAGATCACTGGATCTTTCACCGGATCATTTTGTGACTCAACAAACCTGGAAACTCATTTCATTTCAATTTATTTAGTGACCTGTTCTTAAGATCATTTCAATTTTTGCCATACAAAGAAGATTAACAAAGTTTATGTTGACATTTCTCATCATTTTCTCATTTTCTCATTTGATTTGCATTCTCAAAAGAATCACATTGTGAAATGATTGCTTTTCTTATATCAATATGCTTTTTTAGTATTTAAATTGAATCAAGAAATTTACCAATAATGAAGAAAATGATTGTCGGAGACTTTGAAAAAACCGGAATAATGTTTAAAGCCGAGTTCCCACGAGACACCGGGAAGGGTTTTGATCTCTTCAGTTCTGAAAATCGTAAAAAGTTGAATGGATTAGAAAATATTGTAATTTCGGGGCTTACTCTTTATCTTACTTACTTTATCTTAATTACTTTATCTTACTTACTTTATCTTACTTACTTTATCTTACTTACTTTATCTTAATTACTTTATCTTACTTACTTTATCTTAATTACTTTATCTTAATTACTTTATCTTCCTTACTTTATCTTACTTACTTTATCTTACTTACTTTACTTACTTACTTTATCTTAATTACTTTATCTTAATTACTTTATCTTAATTACTTTATCTTCCTTACTTTATCTTCCTTACTTTATCTTACTTACTTTATCTTAATTACTTTATCTTACTTACTTTATCTTAATTACTTTATCTTACTTACTGGGCTTACTGTTTATTTTATTTATCTTTATAAATATCTAGAGCTTATAATTTTTAAAAACAGCTTTCAAAAGAGCTTATAGTTAGCAAAGTTTTGTTGTGGTTTGGATTGAAAAAAATGAAAACTCGACTTAACTTTAAAACTTTATAATAAAGTTGTCTTTTTTTGACGTTACGGCTACTCTTGCAGGCATGATATGTTACAAATATTAATCAACACAAAGCTCAAACTAAAAGAAACCTAGCAAGCGTGAGAAATAGTCCGAATATTAACAACGGTAGCATTGTTTCGTCGTCAGTTCGATGTCGGAAATGAAAAGCAAAACTGGCGGATTGGGTCAAAGGTTTAGATTTACGAAAAAGAGGAAGAGACAAAGAAATGGGGAAAAGGAATGGGAAAAGGAATGGGAAAAGGAATGGGCGGAGTCACCTCTTATCCCATTTTCCCTCTTTTTCCCTTAAGAAATGTCCTTTTTTTTACAACCAATTCCCAGATTATCCAATCATCAAATTTTGTGACAAAAGAAATGTATCATAAAATTGAAAACTTTGAGAAGATTCAGAAGTGATTTTGCAGTGAAACTTTTCACAAGCATGTATTAAAAGGAAAATCTAAAAAAACTGAAACATCCGAACAATCATCTGGAATAATTTTCATTGAAGAAAACTTGCAAAACTATTGTTTAAAGATAAAGTTAACAAAAATGATACCAAATTTACAAAATTCTAACTAAAAATACTTTAAATAATACTTTAAAGTAATTTTAGTAGTACTTTAAAGTAACTTTATTAATACTTTAAAGAACTTTAAGTAATACTTTAAAGTAATATTACAAATACTTTAAAGTAACTTTAGTAATACTTGAAAGTAATATTACAAATACCCGTATCCTGTAAATGTTTTTATTCAAATTTTAAGAATTCTCTTGAATTCTCTTGAATTTTTGTTTCTTTTTTAATCGAATTATAAAATTGTGGAACCTTTTTACCCTCTCATTGTTCGTGATATTCTCACCATGACTAGATTTAAAGCCGCAATTTCGGCAATTCATTTAACTGCTCTGTGATTCTTTCTTGAGGTATATCTAAAAAGGTATCTTTTGGGTGTGTTTTGAGTGGTGTCCTGGGTGATTATTGTGTTCTTGTTTTGGAGCTATTCAACTGAATAAAGCATATATATCTATATATAATTTGAATAGTGTACCTATTTTTTTGTTTTCTTTTATTTTTAAGTTAAATGTTGCTTCAGCTTTTTTTTCTTTTCTTTATCCTCACTTAAAAAGCGTACAAAAAAAAAAGCGTTTTTATCACTTTGGATTAAAGATTCGAATTGTATTTACAATGATGATTGAATCTTTTACTTGTAAACGATGGTGTGAGTAAGAACTCAAAGAGAGACATCAATCCATAGTTGAAGGTTAAATCTGACCATCTCTTGCATAAAGCTCACTCTCGTTGAGCATGAAGTGTTCTCTAATTCTATTGGGTTGGGGAGAATGAGTCGGCGCCCAACTTTAAAGGGACTTTTTGCACACATAAAGCCTTCTTTAAACATACGTTTGGTTTCATCAAAAGGATCCACTATTTCTCTACAAAATCACTTTTGAGAGATTCCACAAAGCTTTTCTTTCGTGGAGTTTATGAACTTCCAAACGCAGCTGGTTAAAATGGCAAAAGAGTCCGACTCATCATTTGAACAGTTTCTTTCACATAAACCTTCTTTGGTGTTTATATAAAAAAGATAGAGCACATTCAATTACTTAAGTTGCCAAATTTGCAGGAAGATCCCACCAATGGTTTTTTTCTAGATGACAGTTTGTAGTTTTTGTGAAAAAATGGCTTTTTCTTGAGCGGAGGCGCTGTTTGAATTTTCTTTTAAATGTCATTTTGTAGAGAATTAGTTAACCATTCTACTGATATCAAACGCATATTACTTGACGAAGGCTGCTAGAAGTTTTAGACATTTTTTTGATTTTCGGCGCCGACTCATTCTCCCCAACCCAATAGAAGTGTTCTTTAATTCTAGAAGTGTTCTCTAATTCTAGAAGTGTTCTCTAATTCATCAACCGATTGTGTAAGTACCATCATTACTGCCTTCTCTAGGTGTTCAATATTCAGCGAGTTTTTCTTGAAATCCCTCTTCCCTCCATTTACACCACCACCATTTATTCCTTCTTTATTTGTGATCAAAGAAGAGAAACCGCTTCCCATTCCGTCGATGTCACCAGATGAATCGTTTTCTCTCTCGATTTCCCTGTTAACTCCCCTCAATCGTTGATTGGCTCGTCTTCCCCACCCCGTTCATCCCTTCTCCTTCCCCCATTGGCGCTTCCCGTTTCCCCTTCTCTTCCCTCTTCCCCCCGCAACGCAACCGCATCGCCTCTCCAAATGTGGCCTTTCCCCCACTTTTCTCTCCATCGTTTTATATAATATTTTTCTTAAACTTACAATATAGATTCCTTTCTTTTCTTTCTTAAACAATTAAAGCTAAAATTCTTAGCAATTTTTTGATTTAACAAGCTTTTATTTACAGGAGAATTTAGAGATATCAAAAAAACAATCGATAAACAATTTCTACAGTACTTTGTGAAGAAAGAAAATTGAAATCTTTGACTTTTTCCTAAAAAGTTTTCAAATAAGATTTTATTTTCAGGTATAGACAGTTGGGTGGAAAGAAGTGTTTGATGGGGTGATTGGGGGATAAAGAGGGGATAAAGAGGGGTCCACGAAGAGACAAACACTGGTCATTTGGACTCGAGAAAATCTCCCCCTCCATTCACATTCAACACATTCATCTTCGTTTGTCTATTCGATTTTCATTTTCATTTTTCCTTGATCTTTTCTGATTTCATCTCAATTTATCACCCCTTTTCCCCTTTCTTTTCTCAATCTTTTCTTTACACATTGACCCTCCTCCTGTTTCCTTTTCTCCATTTTTTTTTTCTGAAGGGATTCCCGCCATCTTTTTTTCCACAATGAGGGACATTGAGATTTTTGAGATTTGCAAACGCAATTGCAAATGGGAAAATATTTGAAATCAAGAAAAAAGTAGAGAATGAAGGGATTGACGTGTTAAATTAGGAGAAGAGGGGTAAGTTGTGAAAAGGATTTATTTAAAAGCAAAGAAAAGCAAAGAAAAGCAAAGAAAAGCAAAGAAAAGCAAAGAAAACTCATTGAATCTAATTGATCAAAATATAAATTCTAATAATCTAATGATCTAATGATCTGTAAAGAAATATTCTTTGCGTGCTTGGTACTCTTCACTCAAGACACGTTATTTCTTGTTTTGAGATATCTGATCTCACTTGAACTAAAAACACTTTATTCAATAGCCGACTGACTCGGAATCTTTGGGCTCTAATGAATCAATCTAATGATCTAATAATCATCAATCTAATGATCTAATGATCATCAATCTAATAATCATCAATCTAATAATCATCAATCTAATGATCATCAATCTAATGATCTAATGATCATCAATCTAATGATCTAATGATCATCAATCTAATAATCATCAATCTAATAATCATCAATCTAATAATCATCAATCTAATAATCATCAATCTAATGATCATCAATCTAATGATCATCAATCTAATGATCATCAATCTAATGATCATCAATCTAATGATCTAATGATCATCATTCTAATGATCATCATTCTAATGATCATCAATCTAATGATCATCATTCTAATGATCATCATTCTAATGATCATCATTCTAATGATCATCAATCTAATGATCAAATACAATCAAATACAATCAAATACAATCAAATACAAACAAATACAAAATGTAATTATTTTTATGGAAAAGTGAAAGAGACACTACTTTTGATATGCCAAGTTGGAGAGATTTCTCAAAACACAAAATTTTCTTTCATCCGTTGCAACTACTTTTCCATTGTTCCATGTTTACCTAAGAGTCTTTTTAGTTTGCTTTTTTTTTATCGTTAATCCCTTTAAGGGAAAATGTCGACAACGAGCCAAGATCATCAAAGTTCTTCATCTTCTTCAACATCTCGATCAGATATCCCATCAATCCCATCAATCCCATCAACTCCATCATTCCCATCAATCCCTTCAATCCCTTCAATTCCATCATCCACTCAAATCTCTCATTCACCTGCAATTTCTGCCTCAAATAGTAAGTTGTGCAAGTGATTTTAGCACTAATACGAACTCTAAATTTTAACTATACTTACGAATAAATAGAGTTTCGTAATTTTAAGCAAACAAAGTCTCTAGAGAATGAGGGAAATGACTTTCACAAAGAATTTCCAACAATTTCCATTAAATTCATCCATTAAATACAAATAGATAAAACTATATTTGATAAAAAATATAGCTTTTTCAAAGATTGAACCTTGATGAAACATTCTTGAAGATTTTCTATTGCTTTTTCTATATAAGTACACATGAAAATAGAAAATTCTTGAAGATTTTCTATTGCTTAGCGAAATAAGTACATGTAATTTTAGAAAATCAAAAATTTTGGATGAAACGCAAAGCATTATTTTAAAAAATAATCGAATTTTTACAATTTCTGCTGTCTTTCAGTGCTTCGAAGCATTTTGACGGGAAATCATTGCTCTTCTTCCACTTCCACTTCCTCTTCCTCTCCATCTTCTTCAACAATCCCCCCAGCAAACAGCACTGCAAATCCTTCGGTAACGAATTCAAACAACTTTTACATTTGATTCTTTACAATTCAATTTTTCAGATCGGCAATATCTTTCCAGTGCCCGCTAAAGAACAACAACAGTTTCAGGCGCCCATGCAGTTGCAGGTTTGTTAAAGAAAAATTGAAAAGAAGTGATTTCTCAAGTTGATCTTTCATAATATTCTCTTTTCAGCAAGTTTACCAACCGAATCCTTCTCATGGTCATCACCATCATCGTCAACAACAACAAATTGTTCTCTTTACCCAACCACCAATCACCAACAATCCACAAAAACGACAAAATCTTCCGATCACGACAATCGGAACATTGACTGGAACAACTTTTCCTCAATCAAAAATAAAAGTAAGTGTTGATATCACTGAGTAGTAAAGTGAACTTCGCATTGGCATTCATTCTATAAAATTCTGGCTCTTATTCTGGCTCTTATTTTGGCTCTCGTCTCTTATCCGAGGCTTTTGAATAAGTAATCTTTTCGCTGTCGGGTCGATAGCTTTATTTAGAGATAATATTATTGTTAACGTTTTTCTAGAGTTTTAAAGAACACATTTCAGGCTTGATCTTAGCTTTTCTTTCATCAACTATTTTCCATCAAACTTTTTTTTAGATGCAAGGCCGACCCAATCAAAAAGCGCCTTCTCATTTGGTGCCTGTGAATCCGCAAATGCTACTGAACGGGCAATTCATTCAAATTTTACCCTACGGAGCACCTGGTTTGTTGGATAATTGTTAAATAGTTTAATAATCGATAAATTTACGTGTAAAGTTGAAAATAGAAATCTTTTTTTTTATTTGCAGGCATGACCGTCACTCAAACGGCGCAAGGCATGAAAATGATGAGTCCCGTCAAGGTTTGAAAATAAAAATCGGATAATTTAAGCCTAATCTTAAGCCTAAATCTTAAGCTTTTCAATTTAAAAGCCAGCCTTATATTTATTTGTGATTTCATTGCTGAGACATTGTTTAGCAAAATCTTATTCCCTTTTCCCATTTACAGCCAATCGACGGGAATGCTCAAAGTGGATCAAATCATGGGACGGCAAATGGTTGGTTTTACTCTTGAAATACGATATTTCTAAGCAATTAAATGCCTTTTATACATGACAATTCGATCCTATTAGATTCTTTTTTTTTGTGACTTAAACGAAAAACGATTTTAGGCCTTCAAGCGGCTCGCGTTTGTCAGCCTTCGCAACTCTTGCAAATGTTGCCTGGAGGTAAGCTAACTGAAGATGTAATTTTCAGAACAAAACAAACAAGTAAACTATTAGGTGTGTGAAAAAGTAATCCACGTTTTTAACGTTTATGCGGTATCCATTTGTCCAACTTTTTGATAAAATTCATGGCATTCAAGCGTTTCCTTACGGTTCACCCATCACAATTTAATGTAAGGCCTATTTCTGAAGAGGTTGAACGAGGGTTTTCAAGAAGACAGTGTCTTATTTGGTCATCAGAACAGATCTCAGGGCGACCGCCACGTGGTTCATCTTCTAGGCTTTCACTTCTGAAGAGGTTGAACGAGGGTTTTCGAGAAGACAGTGTCTTATTTGGTCATCAGAACAGGTCTCAGGGCGACCGCCACGTGGTTCATTTTCTAGGCTTTCACTTCTGAAGAGGTTGAACGAGGGTTTTCGAGAAGACAGTGTCTTATTTGGTCATCAGAACAGGTCTCAGGGCGACCGCCACGTGGTCATTTTCTGGCTTTCCTCTGAAGAGGTTGAACGGGGTTTTCGGGCAGTGTCTTATTTGGTCATCAGAACGGTCTCAGGGCGACCGCCACGTGGTTCATTTTCTGGCTTTCACTCTGAAGAGGTTGAACGGGGTTTTCGAGAAGACAGCGTCTTATTTGGTCATCAGAACAGATCTCAGGGCGACCGCCACGTGGTTCATCTTCTGGCTTTCCTCTGAAGAGGTTGAACGAGGGTTTTCGAGAAGACAGTGTCTTATTTGGTCATCAGAACAGGTCTCAGGGCGACCGCCACGTGGTTCATCTTCTAGGCTTTCACTACCACCTTTGAATCGTCGGAACCAAAACCTAGCGGTATCATCAATAGCGGCGTCTTCGCCAAACGCATTCCGAATTCGATGTGCAGCCTCCGCAGCTTTCAACCCATTTTTGAACTCATAAAGCAAATTTGATCGAATAACGATACTTGTGTATACCATTTACAAACTAAAATGAAAGTAGTTTATTGTCGTCCTTTTAACAAAATAAATATATCATTCGAAAGAGGAAAAAAATAAGCTTTTAAACGATATATATTAGGTTGATGCATAAGTGTTTTTGTTCCTTTTCGTCTGCCGTTTCAAGCCAACAAATGCACCAATTAAACTACGGTTGATTTCATTAGAAAAAGCAATTATTTTTCTGCAAAATAACATTAAAACGGGTTTAAAAATATTTAATGCCTGGATTTTCTTGAGAGTATGAAGTCGGGTAGTCAAAAAGGGCTAACTCGATGACACCTTAGCCTTAGGTTTAGACACCTTAGCTAAAGAAAGCCTATCTTCGTGTCAATAGATAAAAGATAGAGAAAACAAAACGTTTGATATTTCGCCAAAATTTCAGAGAAATTCATTCATCCAATTTTTCCGTAGAGTTTTTTAGAGATTTTTACGAAAAAGGCGTTTTTCTCTCTCGAATTTGCTTGAAAGTGAACCGAAATTCATTTAAAAAGATGCAAATTGAACAAAAAAAACACTTTTTTTATAGAGCAAACTATAGATTAATTCGTGAATTTGTTACTTTTTAACAGAAGTACGAAAAAAACGAAAAGACTTATGCATCAACCTATTATTTTAGTAAAGGGTGGAACAAAAAAGAGAGGATTACTAAAAGAAAATCATATGATTGCAGAAAAAGGATGCAAAATAGTGAAAAAGAAAAGAAAGAGGAATGGCTTGGCACACTCATGGATTTGAATTATCGAAAATTAATTCTGATAAGAACCCGAACCAAAAAACAAACTATAATTAGGTTGATGCAAAAGTCTTTTTCATTCTTTTGAAAAATAACAAAGTCATCAATTAACCTATGGTTTGCTCTAAATGAAAAGTGTTTATTGTTCAATTTCCCATCTTTTTAACTCAATTTGGGTTCACTTTCAAGCAAATTCGAGAGTGAAAACGGGTTTTTCATAAAAATCTATCAAAAACCATCTATAAAAACTATAAAAATCATAAAAATCTATAAAAACCTCTATAAAGAAATTGGCTGAATCAATTTCTCTGAAAATCTGAAAAAATATCGAACTTTTTGTGCTCTATCTTTTATTTATTAACATCAAGATTGGTTTCCTTAGCTAAAGCGTCTAAAATGCATCATCGAGCCGTCGCCTTTTTTGACTACCCGACTTCAGGCTCTCAAAAAAATCTAGACATAAGACATTTTAAACTCGTTTTAATGCCATTTTGCAGAAAAATAATTGGCCTTTCGAATGCAATAAACCGTTGTTCAATTGGTGCATTTGTTACTTTTTAACGGAAGTACGAAAAAAATGAAAAAGACTTATGCATCAACCTATTATATATCGTTGACAAAAAATTAAAAATTGTTTAGATATATTTATTTAAAAAAAATAAGAATAAAAAACGTGGATTACTTTTTCACACGCCTAATATTATAAAAGTGGATTGAATACATTCAAATTTTGAAGTAAAAAGAGAACCTTGATTAATATTTGATTAAATTTTGATTAAATTTTGATTAATATTTGATTAAATTTAATAAGAAAAATCAAAAAAAAAAAAAAAGAGAAAAAAAGAGAAAAAGAAAAACAGAAAAAAAACGATTTCCCATCTAGCCAATCAAATGTTTCTCGCTGAAAATGAGGAATTCGGTCAGTTTTCTAACCATAAACAGTAGATTTTCAATCATTTTCAATCATTTTTGAAACCCTTTTTTTTCCTAAATGCATGAAGAATTTGATTTCTTTTTAAAGCTGTACACTGTTTTTAGTTCAAAATCTTCAAATTTTCACATAAAAAGGTAAAAATGATTTTTCAGGTGTCTTTCGCTCAGCTCAAGCCGCCGGAGGGCAGGTATTTTTTTCATTTTTCTTTTCTTGTGAATCCAGTTAAGTAAAAGCACTTCCTTGTTCAACTGGCACTAATCGTAAGATACTTTTTTTATAGATTTTTGAGGTAGATCGTTTAAGAATTTATTTCCTCTTTTCAGGTCATTTACACAGTCGCTTCAAAATCAATCCCTTCCACGATTCCAAGAGGCGAAAATGGAATTCCGAAAGATGAGTCACATTCAACATTCAATCAAAATATAAAGGTTTGATATATAAAAAAAATGATACTATTTTTTTTTCTTATAATAAAACATAAAGCTTAAATGCATTAAACTAATGGGTCTTTTGAAATCCAATAAATATGCCGAAAGTTCAAAGAATTTAAGTGATTTCCCGGGGGTGGGACAAATGCGACCTTTTTTTGCGCACCTGGACATTTGCGCACCTTCTTTTTTGCTGGAAAAAGGCCTTAGGAAAAGCCGTAGAGGTTCAAAAACGTTTTCATAGAAGAGAATCGTATGCGTAGATTCCGAATTTCGACAAATCAGACCTCGCTGACACGTCAAATTTGGGCTAAAAAGGCAAAAACTACGCAACTTAACGCTTTTCCGCAGTATGGAAATATTTTCGAAGCTCTACGGCCTTGTCTAAGGCCTTTTCCAGCAAAAAAAAGGTTCCAGCAAATGTCCAGGTGCGCAAAAAAAGGTCGCATTTGTCCCACCCCCGATTTCCCTCACTTTTTTCGTTGTGTTTCCTATTTCTTCCTCACCAGCTAAGTCCTCGATAGCTCAGTGGTAGAGCGATAGAAGCCGCTGGGCAGAAGGTCGAGGGTTCAACTCCCCCTCGGGTCCAATTTTTTTCATTTCTTTACTTTATTATGATATTCTAAAAGGAAATACTGTAACTGAATGGATCTTGCGAAAAACGAGAAGTTTACCACTTTCCCCCATTTTCTCTCATATCTCTTGATAAGAAAAATTTAGAAAGAAGAGACAACGGAAGAAACTCCGCCGACACTTTCTGTTGCCGCTTCGGGTTCGAATTTTTGTTTATTCTAACCAAAAAAAGTAAAAGTATTAACATGAAATTTCCCTTTTAATGATCTTTGATTTCAAAATCGTAAGCACAGCTCTCTGGTGCACTGATTTGATAATAGAAAATCTCAGAAACATTCTAGAGATCAAGTCCTCACCCGCAGCTGCTCCGATACCCGTGAAAAAGGCGAGCACTCACGAGTTGCACATTGAATCGGTGGGGGGAGTTTTATATAAAATAATATATAGAATTGATAAACACTTGAAATCTATATATTTTCTTTAAAAATCCCTTGAATAATTGTAATTACAGGCATTGTTATTCCGCGGGAAACGCGGCCCCAACGGTATCATCAAACATCACATTGATGGCATCGTAATTGAGGTGATTTTTGATGAGAATTTTGATGAGAATTTTCGAGATTTTCGAGATTTTATCGAAATGATATTATTTTTCAGGAATCTGACGAGAAATTCCCGCTCGATTCGGCGAATAAATTGATGGATTTGTTACCGGAAAATGTGCTGAAGAAAACCTTCCCGCAACATATAAAAAAAATCGAGAAAATCGCGAAAAAACGAGGACGAGTAAGGGAAAATATCATTTAAATGATGAAAGGAGCTTTATATTTATTATTTTATTGTTATTTAAACTGTTATTAAACTGTTATTAAGCTGCTATTAAACCTCTTTAGCCACCAACAAAAGTGAAAGAGGAAGCGGTGAATGACGAAAATGAGCGCATCTCGAATGTGATTATCGATAGAAAACACAGAAAAAGGGTGAGCGCTTTTATTGAAATATCTAAAAATAATAAAATTTCTTATGCATATAAGCTATTCAGCTATTCACTTTTCTTTCAGACAATCAAAGAAGAGCCGATGAATGAAGAGGGGAATTTCGACGAGCCCAAATCGATGAACAGCTCGAATCAGGTGAAAAATTGAGATAAAACTTTATGATTTCTAGATTTTAAGATAGTTTAGATAAAAGAGATAACTGTTAATTTTGAAATATTAAAATTTAGTCCTTTGGAAGCCCGTCTTCAAACAAAAAACGGCCACGAGTCAGCGAGGTGGAAAAGCTGAAAAATTTCGACTTTGGACCAAAAGAACAAGGGCCAAGAGTGAGGAAATCGAGAATAGATTAAATAATTGAAAAAGATTTAGATTTTGGAAACATTATCAAGAAGTGAAGATAAGAAGAGACAAAGTACCGAAAAAGAACAAGGAAAGGGGAGAAAGACGAGGAAGAGTAGCGATGGAAATGGAAATGGAGATGGAAATGGTGAGGATTTTGAAGAAAAATCAAGAGTATTAGGCTGGAAAACTTGTCTAGATCTTGTTTGAGCAATTCTTCATGTCAAACTATTTCAGAAAGCTTTGATTCCACAGAGCTTCGACAAAAACAAGCGAATCGAGGATCGCTTGAAAGGTAAAAAAGGGAATTTTTGTTGTAAAAAGGTCATTTTTGCAGTGCGACGACTGAATCACCGAACAAAAATGAACAAAAAGAGGCATCGATTGTTGTAAAAGTAGGGGAATTTTGAAAATAAGTGTCCGGAAAAAAAAAGTGGTTATTGGTTTGAGTCTGGAAAAATTTTCTTGTTGATTTTCCAAGGCTTATCGTTGTGTCACAAATTGGTTTTACCTCAGGCGTCACACAACAAGATCAAGTTGATGTTTTTGATGATTTTTTGAATAGGGGGACAAGCATGCTCAAAAGCTCAAAAGCTCAAAAGCTCAAAAGCTCAAAAGCTCAAAAGCTTAAAAGCTCAAAAGCTCAAAAGCTCAAAAGCTCAAAAGCTCAAAAGCTTAAAAGCTCAAAAGCTTAAAAGCTCCAAAATCCAATTTGATCTAGGGGAGCTCAAAATTCACGTCAATACATGAAAAACACACTTTTGCATTCCTCTATTTGATCACAAATCTTTCTACTTTTTGTTTTCTATATATTTGTTTTATTCTTTTGAATGTTCTAGCCACAATTTCATTTTGCATTTTTTGGATTGGCTGCTTCAAAAATCATGAGAATATGATTAATTTTTTAAAACGAGAAAATTCCCTTTTTCTTTGCTTTCCCAGGATCGACTTTTTTCGGGGTTTCTTATTTTCAAGCTCTTAATATTAAAAGAAATTTTTAGAGATCTTGAAGATAAGAAACCCCGATAAGAAACCCCTTCCCTAGATCAAATTGGATTTTGGAGTTTTTGTGCTTTTGTGCTTTTGTGCTTTTGTGCTTTTGTGCTTTTGAGCTTTTGAGCTTTTGAGCTTTTGAGCATGCTTGTCCCCCTATTCAAAAAATCATCAAAAGCATCAACTTGATCTTGTTGTGTGACGCCTGAGGCAAAACCAATTTGTGACACAACGATAAGCCTTGGAAAATCAACAAGAAAATTTTTCCAGACTCAAACCAATAACCACTTTTTTTTTCCGGACACCCTGTATAAGTATTTAGCATTCGAATGGAAAAGATTCTTTTAGTTATCCATTCCCCCAGCTCTTTGTCCATCAACTTCTTCAACAAGTCCCTCAACTTCAACGATCGGTCTTCCCGAAATCTCAAATGGCACAAATATGTGCACTTTTTGCAAGAATCCCCTCAATGAGGTATTTTTCAAAAAAACATATTTCAAACATTTTAAAGTACACTAACCCTACACAGCTACAATAACCCTACACAGCTACAGTAACCCTACACAGCTACAGTAACCCTACTCAGCTACAGTAACCCTACACAGCTACAGTAACCCGTGAACCATTTACAATAGCTCAAATAGTTGCGTTGGTGTATAAAGATCGTCATTCATCAACAAACTGTTAGAAGTAGGTGAAAAGATCAAATGAATGACGTAAACAGTAGCTGAAGGATACTTTAAACCAGAAACGAAAACGATAACTTTCTTTCCAGATCCGTCTCCCATCTTATCCTCAATTTTGCTCGAAACGTTGCGTTAACGAGTTTCGAATTCACAAAAATCACGCAAAACGTCCGGAAAGAACAGGTAGATTTCAAAGGGGGGGTTTTCCCTTTCATTTCACTTATCATTTAGCTGCACAAAAAGCCGAACATATGCGAAATGTCGACAATTTGTTGTAAGTAGAGAAAATTTTTAGCAATATCGAAATATCTTTTAGAAGTACAATTGGCTCATCTCAATTGGCTCAAATTGTTGCGCCAAAAATCTCCATCGAGAGTGAAAGTCCAATTGTTACGGTGATTCGGCGGCTTTTCAATATCATTTTGAAATTCATTTTTTTCAGCTAACTTCAAAAAATGATGAGTTATCTTTTGTGGATTCATTGCCGTTGAAGGATTGGCAGGTTTGTTTGGGATAATTCTATTAATGAAAACTTTGAAAGTGAAAATTTCCTTTAGACTCAACACGTCTGGAAATGGATTCGTTCAGTGACGGGAAGTGATGAAGTGGCGAATAACTTTAAAGCCGAAGAAATTGACGGAGATTCACTCTCAATGGTCAAAAATGAAGATCTCAGGTTAGAGAAAGGGAATTTAAAGGCCAATTTATACGGGGAACATTGAGGAATTCATTTTAATGGATTCCGTTTTCTAAAATTTCACTTTAAACTTTCTTTATTTTTATCGATTCGATCAACTTTTTTTTTGTCTCTTTTGATATTCTTTTTGAACTTAAAATAGAGAAAAGATTACGATAAAGGGTATATTTTAGAGAACGGATTATTTATATAATAGACACAGTTATAAATTTGGGGGTAGGCTAGTTTCCGCAACTTTTTTGCGCAACTCGTCATAACTTTCTTCTAAGTGGGTTAATCTTTATGATTTTTGTGTCATTTTGTGGAGCTCAATAAGTGCAACAAAATGAAACCAAAATCATAAAGATTGACCGAGTTAGAAGAAAGTTATGGCGAGTTGTGCGCAAATGATCCAATTGATCCATCCAATGATCCTGTTGCGCCAAAGATCCTGTTGCGCCACAAAGATCCTGTTGCGCAAATTATCCTATTGCGCAAATGATCCAGTTGCACAAGCGACCCTGTTGCGCAAATGATCTTATTGCGCAAATGATCCTGTTGCGCAAATGATCCAGTTGCTCAAATGATCCAGTTGCGCAAATAAAATGACGGAAATTATCAGGATCTTTGGCGCAACAGGATCATTGGATGGATCGATTGGATCATTTGCGCACAACTCGCCATAACTTTCTTCTAAATGGTCCAATCTTTATGATTTCTAGTGTCATTTTGTTGTACTTATTAAGCTCTATAAAATCACACTAGAAATCATAAAGATTGACCGACTTAGAAAAAAGTTATGGCGAGTTGCGCAAATGACACTGTTGCGCAAATGACACTGTTGCGCAAAAAAAGTTGCGGAAACTAGCCTATCCTTAAACTTGCTAACGATAAAATAAAAATGAAACTTTTAACTGAAGAATTTCTAAGATACCTTATCTAATTAGTAAGAAAAATAAAAACTTTCATTTTTTTTCCCTTTTTAGGAACACATTCAATATGAAACTCGGACCGGCACTCAAATTGGGCAATTGTTTAGAAGAATTGAAGGGTTTACAGAAAAAATTCAAGTGAAACATGTTTTCTTGGTCCAATATTGATCTTTATTATCAGATTTTCTATTGCTTTTCCTCAACCCTGCTAGGCATCTTTCTTTCCTTTCCACCACCACTTTTCTACCTCATTCCCTAATTTTCTATTTCTCAATTTCTATTTCGCAATTTCACATGTTAAAGTTAATAGAATTTTTTTTGAGTTAAATTTTATTGACAACCAAATAAATAAATCAATTAAAATTAATCTCCATTATTTACGATGACTTTCGACCATTTTACTGGCAATTAGAGAATCTCTCTCTCTCTCTCGTAGAATATTTTCGGATTCGAGTCGAGTCTGTCGGTTTGAAGCCACTTTTTGAGGTGATCTTCATTTTTGAAAGTGCTCTCTATCCAAGGAATGTTGCATTGACCGAAAAAAAAGGTGATAAGCTGAGGAGAGTACGATGGGTGCGGTGGATTGTGGAGCGAGTGAGGTTTGCCGTATGTGGCATTGTCGTGCAGGAGAAAGACCTCTAAAGACTAAATTTCGGTCGTTTTTTCTTGATTTCTTCATCGAGTTTTTTGAGTTGATCACTTTACAATAAAGCATTAATAGTCACCTTATTGTCAAGGAGTTCCCAATCACCCCATTGAGATCTCAGCAAACCAACAAAGTATACTTCTTCTGGTGGAGATCTGAGAGGGCCTCCTTCGCAGCAGTAACTCCACACTCAATCCATTGCCGTTTCCTTTGAAAGTTTACAGTTGTTATCTACTTTTTGATCTCCGGTGACTAGCCGGGATCAGGAAAAGGAGCAAGAAAAAGATTTCCTCTCTTATCTAAAAAGAAGGGCAGCAGCTACCTCTGTCCTTTAATAGGATCGGTGAGGTTTTGCAGTATTCATTAGTCATATCTATACTATGCAGATGCAGATTGTATGGGAGAACAGCATCTGCTATTTCACCAGTTGAGATCCGAAAGTTCTCACGAATTTTCTGGATAATTTCTTTTTTTAAACCGAGAGGCCGCTCTTGGATGCTCTTTGTCTTCGAGTGAAATCTCTCTTTTTTTTTTAAAACTTAGCAAACCAACTCTGAATTGTGTGATGAGAAGGTGAGTCATTTCCATAAATAGTTTCAATATTTCTTCGGGCTATTGACAAACTGGATCCTTTTTTGAACTCATACAGCATATCACAACTCAAGATGAGATAGATCTAGACAAATCCTTTATTCAGAACCTGAAATATAAAGTGTGCTAGATTTAAGATTCATACACATAACAGATTTGGGGTAACTTTTGAATAAATAATTAATAAAAAAAAAAAAATCATAAAGGGTGAAATTGTTCTGTTTTCTAATGAGAACTGATCAAACTACATTTAGACAACAAAACAAATCCAGTCCATTGTTTATGAAAAGAAAATTTTTTTTGATCTCTAAATGCGCCAACTTTCAACTTGTCAGACTTTGATATTTTACTTCGAATTATATTAATAAAATTTTTATTAGGTTTTGAACTTTTTTTTAGGAAAGAGAATACAAAAAGATACGCAAAATTTCGGAATCCCATTAAGAAAAGGGGCAAGAGATGTTATAAGAGACGAAAAGAGAAAAAGAGGTATTTTTTGTATGTACACCGAGATCGGAAATGGTTTAGAAAGTGAAAAATAATAAAATTTAAATGCTCAAAACGAAATTATGCCTTTTTTGGTGCGGCTTTCTTTGTGGCCTTCTTTTTGGGAGAAGCAGCCTTCTTCTTCGGAGCGGCTGTCTTCTTGGGAGCCTTGGCCTAGAAATTTGGAAATAGTTTTTTTATATAATTTATAATTATTCATATTTTTGAGGGGTTCTTCTTTTCACCCACCTTCTTTGGACTCTTTGGCGCCTTTGGTTTCTTCGCGGTGGCTGTCTTCTTTGTCTTTGGCTTCTTTGTGGCCGCCTTCTTCTCACCAGTTGCCTTTGTGGCCTTTGCGACTTTCTAGAAGATATTAATATAAAAATCTTTATCTTTTATAAAAGATATTTTTATAAAAGATATAAAAGATATTTCAAAAGCGTCTTTTCTGCCTACTGACTATACTGTAAAGACAAAATTACTGTAAAGACAAAATTACTGTAAAGACAAAATTACTGTAAATGAAGTTATTCCTTTTCCAACTCATACTTTACGATTACATTTCTGACTTTTTTTCTTCTTCTTCACTCACCGGCTTCTTTGTGACTTTCTTTGCCTTGGCCTCTCCCAATCGGAATGATCCAGATGCGCCAGTTCCCTTGGTTTGTTTCAAAGCACCCGAAGTGATTCCACGCTTCAATGCCATGCGGAGATGAGCATTGATCTAAAATTTCGAGATTGGTTACAAATGTGCTTAGAAATCGAAATTTGATTACTCATTCAATACCATAAACGATCACAAAATGTAACTGTACTTAAACTGAATAATTATTACTGCAATTGTTATACGATAACTTTATATCTAAAGTCTAAAATCTTTAAAATCATAAGCACAAACCTGAGTGTGATTGTTTCCGAGCTTGTAGTGAGCAAGGATATATTTGAGAATAGCAGGTCGAGAGCTTCCATTTCTTTCCTTCAAATCGGTGACAGCTTTCGCGATCATCGATGAATAAGTTGGATGAGATGGGGCAGCCTTGGTCGTCTTTGGTTTCGCAGCTTTCTTTGCCTAAAAATGTTTAGATATTTGAAGCTCTAAGTCGTTTGTTTACTGTAAAGGAGTACTGTATAAGTTTGTCTAAAGATCTAAACTTTCTAAAGATCTAAACTTTCTAAAGATCTAAACTTTCTAAAGGTCTAAACTATCTAAAGGTCTAAAGATCTAAACTTTCTAAAGATCTAAACTTTCTAAAGGTCTAAACTATCTAAAGGTCTAAAGATCTAAACTTTCTAAAGGAATCTTGGTAAATCAATCAAATTCAGAAAATGACTACACTATATAGTGGTTATTATATTCTACAATAAGAATAAAATAAATTCTGCAACAATTCAACAATAAAATAAAATCGAACCTTGACGGGCGATGCTGGTGGAGCGGCGGCAGCTTCAGCGGTCATTCTTGATGAGAATTTTGTGTTGGAAAGGTAAAGATTGTGAGTTGAATGAATGGATAACGAATGCTTTCTTCGCATTCAAACCCTCTGTATTTATGTGTCTGAACAGAGCCCGGTCAGGATGCCTTTCCCCCTTCCTTCAAACAAACCCCTCTCATCCCGCATCCACTTGTAGATACCCCGCGAAAAGCCGAGTATTCCCGAAAGCGAGCGCAAATTTTTTAACAAATTTTTACATATTTAGATTCAGTAGATGTTCAGCTTTGATTTAAACCCAAATTCTTTCAACTTTCACTGCGAATTTCCCATGAAAAAGTGGAAAAACAAAAGTGTAAACCTTTTTCACCCGACCTCCCCCCCTTACAAATCGATTTTTGCAAAATTTCGCTAAAAATTTTTCGTTTTTTTTGTTTTTATTTTAAAGAGAAGACTTTAATCATTTGATAAAGTATAAATTTTTGGGAATATCTCTTCTCTCAACTTTTTAATCTTGCCCTAAAGTTCTCGAAGTTACACAACACGTTTTTGGGAGACGCCGATTTTATGGTTGGTTTTCAAGTAGTCAATTCAAATTCGATTTCATTTGATAGAGAATTTAAATTTACATATAAAAATGTAAAATTTAAAAAGATTAGTGGGTTTAATGGTGAGCAAATGGCTAGGAAAGGCGACGAAATGCGAACGGGGAAGGGGTTTTTTGGCGAGCACGCTCTTTGATGGCAACTATCCAAGAATATTAAAATTGATAAATGAAAATGATTTGAATGGAAATTATGCGAAAATTTGATGTGTTAAGTATTGATAAGTGTGTTGGAAAGTGTTTTTTAAAACAATTTCCATTTCTACATGCTACAACAGTTTTCATAATCGGCTTCACCGGCAAGGCGCGTCTCTAGAAACGCTACACTTTTATTTCTCCGTTACCTAGAGTATTTATTTCTATTATTATTTTTATTATTAGTAAATTTTGCGCTAAAATCTCAAGTTTACTTTTCAAATTCTACTTTATTAGTTTTACTTAATTCTGAAAAGAAAATTTGACTCAATCAACTTGAGGAATGGGCTTTATATTTTTGCTAGTGAATGAATACAACAATTAAATATTCATAATTCATAATATTTTAGATATTAAACCGTTTCATAGGAAAGCGAACGCTTTATAAATATCATAATAGTTTTTTTTGGACTGTATTCACCAAGATCCTTGCAACTCTTGAACTTGTTAATAACTTGTCAAAAACTTGTTGGGTTGAGTTTTCTTTTGAAAATTTGCTTCAACTTCAACCTTTCTTTCGTTATAGATTTAATTTTTTGAAAAGATCTTGGCCAATCCGTTATAATCAATCCATTAGAATCAATCCGTTAGAATCAATCCGTTAGAATCAATCCCTTAGAATCAATCCGCTAGAATCAATCCGTTAGAATCAATCCGTTAGAATCAATCCGTTAGAATCAATCAGTTAGAATCAATCAGTTAGAATCAATCCTTTAGAATCAATCCGTTAGAATCAATCCCTTAGAATCAATCCATTAGAATCAATCCGTTAGAATCAATCCTTTAGAATTAATCCGTTAGAATCAATCAGTTAGAATCAATCCTTTAGAATCAATCCGTTAGAATCAATCCGTTACAATCAATCAGTTCGAATCAATCCGTTAGAATCAATCCGTTACAATCAATCAGTTCGAATCAATCCGTTAGAATCAATCCCTTAGAATCAATCCGTTATAATCAATCCGTTAGAATCAATCCGTTACAATCCCTTCAACAGTTTAACAGTTTTTTTGTACTCAATTGTTTATGTCCTTTTCCAATGAGTGAGTTTTATCGGAAGCATTCATTTTGAGTATCGACATTGCGAAGGGGACAGAATTGGCGGGAAAACTCCACTCGGCGTTCTAATGGGGGAAGAAAGGGGGAGTGGGCAAGGCCCTGGACAGAGATGGTTGACCCTTTCCCTATCTACCATAATCCTTCACTCTTTTGGCACTTCCCTTCCTCAACTACTCACGAATCTTCTCTTCCCATCTGCTTTTCTACTCCCATCGATAACGAGTCAATCGTAAATCTAAACCTCAACTGTCTCAACAAATTTCAAGTTCGAATTCGAATAATTAAAATAAAATAGAGATTAATATATCAATTTTATTCACAGAAAACATCAAATTTGGCCTTTATTGCACGAGGAAGCATGGAAAACTAAGTAAAACAAAGAGGAAATTTGGTAGTAATTAGTTTCTAGAGAAAAAGAAATGCTTTAAGCGACCCATTTAGGCGAATAAAGTGAAAGACTGAGGATAATAAATAATTCTAAAAAAAAGAAAAAGAAAAGATTCAAAGCTATCCCCGATTGCGAATTTGTTCGGCTTGTTGACTGATCTCGTTGATGAAATTCTTGAAAGCATTCGGATCTCGGAGACATTTTTGGTGTCGATCCTGTGAATTATGATAATAAGAAAGATTTTAAGAATTTTTAAAATCATTAAATGCTTTTAAATTTAAACTTTTAAATATAGAATTTATAAATAGATAAAAAAGAAAAAGAGCTTTTTAGCTAGACGAACAGAAAAATCGGTTGAAAAGTTTTTAGCTTTTATAACTTAGCTTTTTAAAGTTAGCTTTTTAAAGTTAGCTTTTTAAAGTTAGCTTTTTAAAGTTAGCTTTTTACAATTAGCTTTTATAACTTAGCTATTATAACTTAGCTATTATAACTTAGCTTTTATAACTTAGCTTTTATAACTTAGCTATTATAACTTAGCTTTTATAACTTAGCTTTTTAAAGTTAGCTTTTTACAGTTACCTTTTTACAGTTACCTTTTTACAGTTAGCTTTTCACGGTTAGCTTTTTAAAGTTAGCTTTTATAACTTAGCTTTTTAAATTTCTATATACAGATCTAATGTTTAAATTCAATCCGATTTCATTCTATTCTATTCATTTTCTAATTATTCAATTGAAATTTTATACTAAAACCTGTAAATGATATTTGCACACGTCAATCCATAAACGAGCACAACCCAATTTTCGATCTTTCCCATCAGTGAACGAAAAAGTCAACCAGTATTCATTCTAAAAAGAAAGCTTGATTTATTTAAATATATCTAAAGATTTAAAGTAAATCTTTAAATCTTTAGCTATATTTAAATCAAAAAAGATTTCATTTTGGTAAATTCTAAATTTCCCAAACCGATTGCAGTGGTCCGAAGAAAGATTTTGGGAGATCTTCAGAAGAGAAAACCTAAAACAAATCTTATATATTTTTTTCTAAAATTCTTAAAGATATATCTTTAAATATATCTATATTATTATAATATAGTTTTTTCAAAATCTTTCTCTTTCGTACTTTCGAAAACGTCATCGTCCAGTGTCCTTTTGGTGGTGGGCAGAGTTTATTTTGTCGCAAGAAGTCACGAGCCTAAAAAATGAATAGGAAACGAATTTCGATATAAAAAACTGTATAATATAATATTTTATTAAATTTTCAATCATTTTTTTTAATACCTTTCTATCACCGATATATTTATTTGCTCCTTTCATTGCCTCATTGCATTTATCGAGCATGTCACAGTAGCGGCTGAAAAAGAAAATTTTTTTGATTATTTTGAAATACCGTATTTTCTCTAATAGTAGTGCACCCTGAGCCTTGTATAAATTCCTCGAAATCTCGAAAAGCGCTTATCAGAACCTATCGATGTGGGCTCGGAAAATGTAGCTGACGATGAGATCTAGTGGGGGATTAGAGGGTTGAGCTTCTGCAAAAGCTTGGAAACGGTAAAACAGTCATCAACTCGCCTCACCCGAAAATATTAGGGAAATAGATCAGTCTGATCTATTAGCCTAACCTGTAATGATATACCGTCTTCACTCTAATAGTAGTGCACCCAGAGCGTCGTATAAATTCCTCGAAATCTCGAGAACCGCTTATCACAACCTATTGATGTGGGCTCGGAAAATGTAGCTGAAGATGAGATCTAGTGGGGGATTAGAGGGTTGAGCTTCTGCAAAAGCTTGGAAACGGTAAAATCGTCACCAACTCGGCTCGCCGGGGTGTGATATCAGAGAGAAAATACGGTATTCATCGTGTAAAGCAAATCAAAGCTAATCCATCGTAAAATAGGCATCAACGCAGCTCGGTACGGTGCACTACTATTAGAGAAAAGACGGTAATTGTTCATTGAAGTTTTTAATGGCTTTTCCTTTTAATCTTTAAAACCAAAATTTTCCTTCGTCGCCTAAATTGCTCGAAATCTCAAAAGCCGCTTATCAGAACCTATTGATGTGGCTGATGTGGCTGAAAATGTAGCTGACGATGAGATCTAGTGGGGGATTAGAGGGTTGAGCTTCTGCAAAAGCTTGGAAACGGTAAAATCGTCACCAACTCGGCTCGCTTGGGTGCACTACTATTAGAAAAAATACGGTAATAATCTTTACTTTATAGATTATTTAATGCTTTTTGTAAGCTTGAAAAAGAAAAAGTTCATTGAATAAAAAAAAGATTACAGTAGAAAGAGCAAGGAAATGGATGAAATGAAAGAAACGTATCTACCGTAAATACTGTAATAGTACCCCACCCCCATAAAGACGGTGCAGAGTGTTGCGTAGTCTAGCTTTGAACGAGTTTTTCTCGACACTGGTTTATGCTACAATGCGCGCTTAGGTATCAAAAAATAGCCCTGAATTTCAGCTATTTTTTCATACCAAAGACGCATTTTTGAAAGTACGGGCGCTTTTAAAAAAAACGAAATACTACGCCACTGTACGAGGGGGGTGGGGTACTATTACAGTGTTTATGGTATGTGTATTTGCATAGCAAAAGCCTCTTGAAATTCTTCTAGCTTGAAATCTTCGCTTTTCTCACCAAGATCCAACTCCATCACATCCATCAACAATATTCCATCCTTGACATGGAATCACTTGCCATCCTTTTGAGCCAGATCGAGATGTGACCGCGTGTCGAACCTGTGATATTTATACAAATATTTCTAGAGACTTTTAAGCTCGTGGATCGTTTAGCGCTCTTGATTTATCGTGAATAAAGTGTCAAAATCGTCAAGAGAGCATTGCATTGCAAGTTGGAATAAACTCGACTTTCTAGATTATTTTTACAGTTTATTAGATTTGATATTCCAAAAATCGATTTATTGGAGCTCGATGACCAAAATTCACTCTAATTTTTCTTGTTTAACGATAAGAAAGTCTTCATTATTTAAATCTATAGGACATTAAAAATGTTAGAATCAAATTTCAGTTTTGGTTCTTTCAAGAAAGTTTAATGAGAATTTGTGATCAACTCAATTTATTGTTTCTAGACAAGTGTTTCTAGACAAACAACAGCGCAAAAGACAATAATTTTGTAAGAAGTAACTTAACGATCCGGGTATTTCCTTCTTTCTTTCTCCTTTCTTTCTCCTTTCTTTTCTCCTTTCTTTCTCCTTTCTTCTTCCCTCTTGTCTTTAGGATACCAGATAGCTCAGTGGTTAGAGCAATAGAGCCATAGAAAGCAAAAGGTTGATGATTTAATCCCCTCTTCTACCTTTTCTTGCCAATTTCAGCACTTCTTTTTTAAAGTTGTTAACATTTGATGTATTGATAAGTGTTCTTTTTAGCAAAACTTGTAGAAAGCTTGTAACACAACAGCAGCTTGTAAAATAAGCTCTGAATCTAGTAATCTACTGATAATATTGAACACTCTATATTTAATCGCTCGATTTGATAATTCTCAAAGCTTCTTTAATAAGATTTTGGTGTCCCATTACCTCTAAATCCATTTCAATATGATCTCTCGGCAAATCCTCAGCCACATCCATTGTCACATTGAAGAAGATTGGACCGGGGAAACGGGGGTAATCAGGCCAGATCACAATATTCGACACATTCACGACAAAGTCCGTCCACTCAAATTTCACAATAAGATAAATGCACAAAGAAAAGATTAACATTTAAACATTTAAACATGCTATGCATGACTGACTACAAGAACTCAACAAGTCCCATCCTTAACACTATCCGTTTATTACCTGTTCTGATGCACATCTACTGAATTGCCATCCTCTAATCACAACTCCGTGTGGTCCCGTTTGATATTTCTCCCAAAATGGCTTCACACCAGGCAATGCTTCGTTCCAAGCCTGCTTTTTGAGAATAAAACTTTTACAATTTTCGATATTACTTTGTTGAGTGGTGATTGAGCTGAGGCAAAACCGAAGAAAATCACCAAAAGTAACCACATCTCAATCTGGAAATTGAAGCTCATTTTGAATGATATATCAATAGGAGAAAATTTGAGAAAGAATTTCAGTTTTTGATCGCTCAAAATGAAGAGCAAAATGCTGAGGAAAATGTGAGCACAATGAATGGGGATTTATGGTATTAGATCGATGAGAATGGATTCGAGTTGTTCGGTGAATTCATTGGAAATAAGGGAATGATTGTTTTGGAGACATACGAAGGCTTTAATCGTTTATCGTACGCTATCAATTTACTAACCTTTAGCACGGGATTTTTTGCAAAAAAACGAACTTACAGATCATTTTCATCTTTTAGCTTCCAAATGTAGCTAATGTTTAGGCAATTTGTGACCAGCCATGTCTAACACGGCAAAGAGTTGTCTCTATCATTGTCTATCAAAGAGTTGTCTCTATCATTGTCTATCAAAGAGTTGTCTCTATCATTGTCTATCAAAGAGTTGTCTTATTTTATCTCTATCATTGTCTAGTTTGTTCATTCTTCATTCTTTTTCTCTTTCTAATCTCCTTTAATGCGTTAATGTAAAGAAATCAAAGTACCGCTTTACTTTGCTGAGAAATAAAATCGGTATCTGACTAAAATCGGTATCGGTCCAATTTAAGGGAAAGCTAGTGCCAAATCGAAATCATAAATAAGTAATCTTTTCTCACAGTAATCACAGATGTTTCCTTTATTTAATCCTTTATTTACAGTCCATTGAATCATTATAGAATACATCCATTAGTAAAAAAAAAACAAGTTAATTCAAAGAAAAGAAAAAAACAAGAATATATCAATGAATCTATTCATCTCGATAGATTCAAATTCAATGGATAAAGAAGAAGTTGGATCAATGAAATGGATGATCATTTTATCGCCACGGTTATCCTTTTCCAATCGCTGGCGAGTTTTCTGATGGGAAAAGTGAAAGGAGAATTGGGGGGAAAATGGGGGGAAAAGGGGAAAAGGGCAAAAGATCCACGCACAGACTTGATCCAAACTGAGGAAATGGGGAGATCTCTTAAGGATTTGGGGAATCGACCAGGGCGAAGGGGAGAGTTGAACCTGTCTCCCCTCGCATTCACCGCATTCACCCCTCCCTTCTCCTCTCCTCTCCTCTCCACATAAGAATGTCTATTCTGTTTCTGTTCTGTTTCTTGGCTAGACATACACATTTGAAAGAATAAACTTTACTTTTGAAACGAGTTGATCGACTGTTCACTTATTGTTTCAAGTCAAGTGAAACTAGAAGTGAAACTTCTAGAAAAAGTGGTCAATGAGTGGGTTTGTTCAGCTTGGTTAAGAAGAAGAAGAAGAAAAAGAAGAAGAAGAAGAAAAGCAATAGCCTACAATTGAGTCGTAGCTTCGTAATTGAGCAAAATTTTCTAGGGAATTTGCAAGCTTTTCTACAATGTGCCCTTTGTGCTCAAGCGTCGAAACGCATCCACTCTGGTGCGCTAGATTTGTTTGTAGTCTTGAATTCCCTAACAGTGTGCTAGATAGGGTTTGTTTAAAGAATAGCATTTGCATAAGGAAAAATAAGAAATGCATTTGAAAACATTTAAAAAAAGCTCCTCTTTTTCTAGGGTTTAGTTGAAAAGAAAGGTATGTAAATGGGCGATTTTTGAGGAAAGGAGAAAAGGGAAAAGTAGGACAAGTGAGTCGATTCCACCCACCAAACACTCTCAACCATTCATCCAATTAACCCCTACATGTAGAGTCACCAGTTTCTTTTTTTTTGAAATGAAAACACTTTTGATGGAGAAAAAAAGAAGGGTCGTAAATCAGAGCAATCAGACTAAAGAAAATGCGAATATAAGCCGTCCTCTTGTCTTCCATCGATTCACATTTCAACTGATCGAATGCTCTCTCTCTCTCTCTGTAACTCGCCTAATTTTGAATTTTAAAAATTATAAAGATATTTTTATAAATTTCTAGGTTTACGATTGGATTTGGATTCGGATTTGGATTCAAATCGATTTACATCACATTTCGGATATTGAAAAACAAACAAAACCAAACAAATGCATTATAGGTGACAAAGTGATGCATGACAAGATTCACATTCCATTTTTTCATTGTCATTGTCATTGTCATTGTCTACAAAATTTATTTGAAAATTCTGAAGCACATTTTCCATCGGATCCATCCATTGAATCAAATCGTTTTTTTTTTTTTCAAACAACTCACGGTAGGAGAACTTCAGCTAAATCTTCGATACGAGTTAAATCTCCTCATAAACATTGGGATTTCTTTTTTGAAATAATGAAAGATGAAGGAAGATCAGAAATTTTTCCATGAATCTTCATAGCTTTCTTCCAAAGCTATGATCTTCATAGCTTTCTTTTGCGAGATTCGATACACCAGGTGCTTCCACTTCTTCTTTTCCAGACTTTTTTGGGGGTTAAATAACCATTCTCCGGTCGTTGTGAATGCTCGTTTTGCATTGAATTTCTCTTTTTGGATCAGTAAAACGAGAAGTGGAAAGCTGAAATTGTATTGCTTGTAACTTTTTGGAGTTGATAACTGTGAAAGTGAAAAACTGTGATAATCTATGATAATGTCTCTATGATTTCCCATAAAATTAGATCGTACTTTGTGCTCTAGCGCTGGCACTCTAGATTCATAGCTTTCTTCCAAAAAGATGCGAGACTCAATGCACTAGGCGCTTTTAAACCTTATCAGAGCACAAAGTACACCGCACCCTCTAGCGCTCATTTCGATGTCTCATTTGTTCAGCATCCTTTCAATATCTTTTCCGATCCTTTATCAATAACAGATTCAGTTTTTCGTCACTTTTCTCAACATTCGCATCCTCGATCTCCTTTCGATATCTGCTTTTCACGAATTTGTGCACCATTTCATTCTCACGATATCCATCCAATTCACCCAATGATTTCGGGTCTTCAGTTGTGGTCGGCTCTGAAATCAGATAGAAATCGTCGAAACGGACTGTACTCCTAGTTGAAGCGATCGAATCAGGCTACAAACCATTGTAACTTTTCTTTAGCATTCATATTTTGTCTATTATCTTTAACTTTTAGATCACAGCCATATATATCCCAGTTGTGGCCCTCATTTCCCTGGGTCGATGTCTTCCACGCGGTGCCACGGGTCTCCTTAGTCTCGTCCTCACTGCATATCTTGCTGTTCTTGCCCTAGCCAAGATGGCTAGGGCTTCGGGTCTTCAGTTGTGGTCGGCTCTGAAATGAGATAGAAATCGTCGAAATGGACTGTACTCGTAGTCGAAGCGATCGAATCAGGCTACAAATCATTGTAACTTTTCTTTAGCATTCATATTTTCGGGTTTGCTTTAGTCCATTTTGAAAGGACTTGAGATTCTCTATTTTTTGAGCTATAGATCATATCAATCGGATAGATTTGAAGCAAGTTAGAGGTGTTTATAGTTTGTAGTGCCCATATCTATTCTCCATTCCAATCTCGAATGAAAAAGACGCAAAAATTCCTTCACGATTTTCATCAACTTGTGGATAAATGTTTCAAGAACGAGAAAAACGATGGACGACAAGATTTCCGTTGTAATCCACATATCTATTCTCCATTCCAATCTTTTCCAATCTCCATTCCAAAGTTTCAGAAAATTTCCCGAGAATCGACTCGAAATCATCAAAACGCGCATTTCGAAATTTCGAGATTTCAAATCACTTTTTTTAAAGGCTTAAGAGTCGAATCGAAATGGCTAATCTATTTTTCGGCATCACTACAATAAGCTGGAATATTCAGCATTTATCTGCATAGCTTTAATAAAAGATTTCACTAAAAAGTAATCAGCTTTGTTGGTTGTAAATCGACCCCCTCCGCCTCACAAATTCTCTCACTTTGTCCACATTGTCATATTCCTCAATTTTTTTCTTTAATATACGCAAAATATAAACGTTAATCTTTCCTTAGACAATGATCAAAAAATGAGATGAAATTGTTGCTTTTTGTTTGTTGCCGCGTTGTTGTTTTGTTTGTTGTTGTTGCCGCGAAAAGTTCAACGCGTTTAATCGTTGAGAAATGATTTCCATCATGCAACAGTAAAAGGACAATCATTTTCAGAAGTCTGCAACTTTTCAAAAAGCTTTCTACTAACAAAAGCTAAAGCTATTTGGGCTATTAAAGCCAAGCTATTAAAGCCAAGCTATTAGAGCTAAGATATTAAAGCCAAGATATTAAAGCCAAACTATTAAAGCCAAGCTATTAAAGCTAAGCCATTAAAGCCAAGCTATTAAAGCTAAGCTATTAAAGCTATTTGGGTACTTTGTGCTCTAAACTACAAACACAAACTATTATTTACATATGTTTGACTGCTCTAATTGGTATAGGATTGCTAGGTTCTTTTCCAATATCGGGGGAGCGGTCCGATTATCGGGGGAGCGGAAGGAAAATCGGGGGAGCGAAAGGAAAATCGGGGGAGCAAATTTTGCCCCCTCGAAAAATGCATTTCTGGGACTTTTATTTTAACTGCAACGTTTTTTTTTTAATTTTTTGGCAGCGCTACATATGTCCTATATTATCCAAAGTACTGCCATAAAATCCGCGAATTACCCGTTATTCTCACAACCTTTATATTAGATCACAAAAGAGACTTAAATATCTAACACCAAACATACCTCTACCTTCCCTATCGGCCGCCTTCTCTTTTTGCCGAACGCTCCACAATCCCGAACGAACAAATGGCTACCTAAAAATTTATTCATTAATAGTATAATTGATCATAACAACGAAAGAAATGTAAGCGAAGTAACCAAAACAAAAACAAAAGTAACCAAAACAAAACCTTTCTAGCAATCACAAATTAACTGTAAAAAAGGGATTGTATTCATTTCCGCCCCTGCGGGCCAAAAATCGACGATGTCCTCCATGATCGACTCGAATGCATTTACTCCGGCAGGCAAATTGCGATGCCACAATCCCTCAGCGATATACGAATCCACCATGGTGCCGTGGGTGCCGTGTCGACGTCTGTTCATGTCTTTAAACGGTTTAGTAGTTCCACTC